ATTTAAAAAATAATAGCCTAACATGGGATTCAGTGTAAATGAGCTCTCTGTACTGACATTAGTCTTATTGAAACAGAATATGTGTCCTAATGCAGACAGTTCCAGGAGGAAAAATGCCTGGAAAATGAATTCTTTGAAATAAAGTACAAAAATAGGGGGCATCTAATTTAACCATTGACCAACTAATGGACTGGACAGAGTAAAAATGGATGCTGTTTTTCACCAAATTTATTTCATTGTAGTTCATCTAATTTTTAATCAGTGAAGCTCCGTATCAGTGGAACAAATGGAAAGACTGCAGCACTCAAGCAGAAAGCAAATATCCCCCCTTAAATGTAAATGAGAAATTCAATAAATATGGTGAAAAATAAGGCATGTCAGTCAGCATTTAAATGATTTGCAGTATTTATATCAAATCAGGATTTTGTGTCCAGGTATGACTAAACAACCTCTGTGTTTTCTTTACTATGCAGAAGCTGATTGGGGAAGCAGATTTAATGTTATTAGTATTTTGTATTTTTTGATGATTTGTAGAGTATTTGGAGTTTACTGTTGAGTACTGCTGATACTTCCATGTCCTTTAGATAYAGAATGTTGTTTGGAACCTGCTTAGAAACTCTTACTCGCCAAGAGATGTGATTTTAGGAGGCATTATTKTGAATACAATTTTGCAAAACAAAACAGAAGTGAGACTGAGGTCTCAGTTCAGCCGTTTTGACCATTTTTGCCTTTGAATCTGCTGGCAAACAATCAAAAGCTTCAAGGCAGAATGACAATATCCACAGCTCTGGGTAATCATATTCTTGTTCCCACATTCTGATCACCCTCTCTTCTTGCCCGACCTCAAAAGGAGAAAGCTGCTGGAAATCAGTGAATACGCATGGGWTTGGCCATAGGCACCAGTGTAGGTCTGCTGCTTGATATCCACCTCTACAGTTCAAGCATAGAAAAGGCATTTCTGCCCATCTTCCCTATAAAGAGACAACATGGTTTAAAATCCCGTCTATTAAGCCATAAATAATGACACTTTTTTTCCTGTGCAGCTAGTATATGCTCAGATCATGGTATACACTTCTCCAATGTCTGTGGATCAGATATTGCTTCCAAGATAACCATTAAGACAGTATCCTCCCATTCCCTTCCAAAGTTTGGCATACATTCAGAGTAAAAGAAGCCACACATAATATGGATGTCAAGTCCTTAACATCTGGGTTGTGCCCTGCAGAACCCTTGCTTTTGCACCACACTGATTGCATGGGAGCTGCCACAGTAGCAGAAACTCCTGGTCTGCCTTCCCAGATGAGACACAGGCTGTGGTAGATGCCTCCTTTGAGGACACCACATTATATTCACTAATTCCTCCAGGTGATAAAGATCATCTGTCCATTCTACTCAATTAAATGTATATATCTGCAATTTTGAAAAAAGATTAACTCACCGGTAACTATATAATCCATCAACATTCTATGACCTGAATTCAGGCAGACATCACACAAAGCATGAAAATGCTGAGACAGTCAACTGTGCTGTTGATACTGCCTGTACACCCCTCAGCGCTTGCAAGCGGACTTAATGTTTTGCCAAGACCTTTGGGGGATGTACATTACCTTTTTCTCCTTTTACTCTACTGTCTTCCCCCTTATATTGCCTAGGGAATGGATCTCAAAACTTTGAGATCAGCTAGTATCTGCACACAGCAGAGCACCTGCTTGATGATGAACTAGAAGACCCAGCGTGCAGGGCCACTTCCCCAGGTCATCTGCTCCAACCAGAACCACTGGTCCCTGCTCATAATAAAGCCCCTTTTTCTTAATTATTCTCTTTTAAATACCACCATACACMATCACTGCAATGCTCTATCCATACTTTCTGACGGATCAGTAACAAGGGAAGTCACTTGTCTTCAGTACCAAGCAGAGACTAAGGCGACATATTCAAATTCACAGTTCARTTTAGTCACATAATATCTGAATTTGAGACACTTAACCTTTGAAAGCCCTATGCAGAAAAATGTCAGCATTGTTATTGAATTTACTTTGCTAAAATCTCATGCATAATAGTTCCAGAACACTGTAAAATCTCTGCTCAAGCTCCAGTTTGGTTTCCACTGCCAGGAGGCACCAGAGACTTGCTTAATTAAGTAAATCAGCCCTTAGTTCATCTGGAAATAGGAGCTGTATAAATAGYAGAAACTTCAAATGATGATTAATATAGCAAATTCAATTCTGCCATGTAATTTAAATTATATATAAATCAGATCATAAATCTGTAAGTGATTTGGCAATCTTTATGCTTCTTGTCAGCATTAATTTTGGTAAAAAAAATACRTCTCTGCTGTTAGACTGCTTTTCACATGCCAAAGTCTGATATGCTCTTCAGAAATCTGTCGCAGTCTCCTTTCTTCYAATACTCAACAGATGTTAAAAAGAAAAATTTATGCCTACATATACATGATTTATGTAGGTGAATTGATTTACAAAAATACAATCTATTTCAATGYTTACAGCTTTTTCCTAAAACAAACTAATGAAAAAGTTGTGTTCCTGTCATATACAATTTAAATGGCAGTAACTTATGAAAATATATGAAACTAAAAAAAATTCAAAATATGAATTTTGATTAATTTTTCATTGTATGTTGTATATAAATCTCTAAAAATAACCCCATGAAACTTCAACTTCCCATGTAAGTCACACAGTGAAAAAATAAAAACTCCATAAAAGAGAAATTTAAATATAAGGATCTAATGCAAAAACAAAAGGAAAAAAAAAAGTAAAGATTGTTAAATTGTGAAAATTACTTAATAAAGATTAATAATAGTAATATTAATCCAACAAAGTAACAGTCTGGCTGATGCAGAACAGCCTAGTGCTTGTACTTGCCATGATCAAGATCAAGGTCTCAGAGACCTGAGACTCTGGGATCAGGTTTTAAATTCCTCTTATAGATATGGCCCTAATATGCTCCCGCTACCCACTGCTCAGCATATAAATGCTCAGTGTGGATGTTAATCTCACTGAAGGTCACACAGATGCTTCTGCTTCCTCAGAGAAGCATTTTCAGGCCKGAATCATTTTCAGCTCTTGGGGTATAAAAAGAAGTGCCAGTGATCATGCTCACCTGCCAACTTCTTGGTGCGGCAGAATCAAATTATCCTCCATCGGGATATCAGCTCGATTTAGCTATTTTGCTTGGAGTTCCTTAAATACAACTGGAGTTTTATACAAGCACAAACTGACTTCTCTGGAATTCCACTTGGACTGCACTAACTGCAAAGAAGGAGCTGAAGTAATTCAAGGAAGTGATGTCCATGGGGCAGCCCCATGAGGATGACCTGGGGAAACCTCGTTCCTCTTAGAGGTGATCGGCAGGCAGCACCTGGACTCACTGAGACTTACTGGGCCTGGACTTACTGAGCACCTGGGCTTACTTACTAGCGAAGGAGTGGCTCAGGGCAGGCTGCTCTGCTCACATGTGGTGCATCTGCTGGGCCCGTGCACTCCTGTGGACACAAATACACATGCACAGGATGAGGAGAGCTGGTGCTTGCCTGGATCTGGTGTCAGATGCAGCACAAGGGCATCCAGGGAACGGGAAGCAGGACAGAGGTCTGTGTTACAGATACAACCTCTGTTTCGCTCAGAGAAATTACAATTTCTCCTGACCTTGTTTCCTCCTCTCCTGCTATCTTGTCTCCAGTGCTGGAATCAGAGACCTGTCCAACTTTCCTCTCTCCTGATACAAGCAGCTTAGCTCCTGTCTGCAAGGTCTGAACTCTCTTAAAAATTATTTCAAAACAGACAATTTATTAAAAAAGAAAATAGCCATGTGTGTTCAGGGCAAAACCAGCATGTGTCTGCACAAAATAATAATAATAATAATAAATGTATATCTGCTTCCCTGTCTAAAACGCTGAGGATTAAATAATCTGAGGGAAACACAAGGTCCTTGGATTCATTTTCTCWAAGACAAAACCAAAATCAAAAGAATATGCAACACGACCGGGGAGAAAGGGAAGCTGCCTGATTAATGGTGGCTGATAATGAAAAATAGAGGCTGGTGTCCTCCACAAGAGTGAGATAATATTCAGAAATAAAAGAAAACATGGAAAAAATCCAGTACTGTGGAGTTCCCAGTGCGTGCAGCTCTTCACTAGGCCACCCTCAGAAGCAGCAGTATAAAGATCAGCTTGTTGCCRAGTTTGGAGTTTTCCTTTCTTTCCCATGATTTTTATCCTTGATGTTGGTTGTGGAAATTACGCCAAAGCTCTGAAGAAACAAGACCTTATCTCTCCGGAAAAATAAGTAAATAATCAATCCATTAATGCTGCAAAGTTGGTGAGATGCAGTGATTATTCAGCTAATAACACAGCTAATGCAGTCCCTTCCTGCCACCTTGTGGCACTTCAGGGTTTGCCACTTTTCTTTATATTTGAACTTTTTACTTTTCTTTTRTTTGAAACCAAGCTATTGACTTTGCTGACCTTAAATATGAACCGGTATCCAGTTAAACTACACATATGCACAGGGTGGAATTTTGGCCCCAGTGACAGTCCAGGCAAAACTTTTGCTATTTAAAAGCTTTCCATATTGCAATGAATGCCTTAACTTCAATAGTCTGTATTGTCATCAATGAAAACAAATTCAAACTAAAGGATGTAAAAGTGGATTCTCCTTTTTAAGGAAACAAATTACAGTTACACTGAAAGAAAGCTCTGAAGTAATTTTAGAGGGTTTGTACTTACGTGTCCCCAGCATCTGCGTTATGATTTGAATTCACCTTTTTGTTTATTTATGTATAGTTTGGAATACACTAGTGCTTAAATAGCTACCTATTTTTTTGAGTCTAGCTAAAGAACAAGGAGACTGTCGTCTTTCATGGGACTTCAGGCAATATCTTTCAAATATTTGCTTATTCCACATTTAATTATGATTCAAAATAAAGAAATGTATGAGGAGGAATAAAGGAATGTACATCAAATTTCCCATGTCTGCTTTCAGATTGGAATCGCCGACTCGGTCTTTGAGCATGGACGCACCAAGAGGAATTAATATCAAAGCACAAGCTGGGAATATTGAAGCTCTTTCCCAGATGGATATCAAGCTGCACAGCAGTGACGGCGTGGTGAGTGCGGGCCTTCCTGTCTCCATGACTATGGTCCATCTTGCCAGCTGGTTGTGTCTCAGACCATTACATCTTTTATTAAAGTTCTACTAATTCAATTCTTTGGATTTTAGGAGATGGGATGTTTTTAAGAACTGAATGGTGCCAGCAGTAATGTATTTATCAGTCAGATTAAATAATAGCATAAATTGATCTAATGTTCATCTCTAGCTAAAGCTTTGATAAAGCTCTTATAAAGCTCTGATGCTGCTAATGCCAAGGCCTTTAGGGGCATTTTTGGGCCAGAGGTAAGAGATTCAACCTCAAAAACCTTTGGATTTCTGGAGAGAAGAGCGAATCTCTATAGAAATCTTGAGGAGCTTCCCCAGCAGCAACCGCTGTGCTAGAAATGCTGCCGTCTATCGACCCRCTCTGGCGGGTCAAGGAGGGAAAGGCAACGCGTCCATCCCGCTCCCAGGCTCCTGCACTTGCCTTGAGAGCCCAGGCCCTGGAGCAGCTTTGTGCACAACAGCTCCTGGAGGCAGCTCTTCTCACGCCACCGTCTAGACATAGTCGGGTCGGGCTCTGGAAACCTTGCTTCTTTCTTGCATAATTTTCTCCATCAAACTCATTGTCCTGCTCTCTCCCGTGCAGCTTTTGCTGGATGCTGAAACYGTGCGATTGCCCAAGTTGCCGGAGGGAACAAGAGGGGGATCGGGTATTTCTCAGGGGCTCTACGAGATCTGCGTGTGCCCGGATGGAAAGCTCTACCTGTCAGTGGCTGGCGTGGGCTCCACGTGCCAGGAGTACAGCCGCGTCTGCCAATAAAGCACCAGAAAATGCCACATATTCCCTTGCTATTYGGAGTTTTGTATTACTACTAACAGCGCGTTACTGAAAGCAGAAATTTGAAAAAGAAAGCACTTCAGGAAATGAATCTGTACCTAGAAACCTGGACTGCAGGCTGGAAGGAGCAGAAGAGCACAAATGCCATCTTAGCTTCAGAAGAAAGACTCAGATTAAATGAAATTTTCCCCAGTACCATTTGAAATCAGCCATACGGAGAGCCCTGAGAAAAAATAACAGGAATRTTTCCAACTCTGAGCTATTATTCAGTCAAATGATTAGGTCATTGTTAATATTTTTGAGCCTCATTGTGTTTTTCTCTCACTAAATGTAAGCACTTGCTGCATTATTGGGTGAGATTCACTTGAAGGGATTACTTGAACTATTTCAGAAGACAAAGTGTTATTTGGGGAACTCAGAAAGTGCCAGGAAATGGTCTATGCAATTTTGTTCTTGCAATAACATAAAATATGAAAGAAAATGTGTGTGTATGAGTTCTGCGCAAAATGGGTTCATTTGTTGATAGCTTTTTATTTTAACTTGATTTGCTCATTACGGAGAGCCACATAAACAACAAACTATCAGAAAAAGCTCCAGAAGTTACACATTTATACCTTCCTGTGTTTTCAAAGCTGTTAATTGTACAAAAGAGAATTGTTAGTATATTTTATAATAGCAATAGTTCATTGTACTGCCTGTACCATCATACTCATTTAAACCCTTTTATATTTTAGGACATGCTTATCTAACAAGGYTATTTGCTCTGCCAGCTGGACTAATGAAAAGCAAACAAAATCTTTAATGCAGCTCGAAACTGCTTGGGCTCTGAGAGAGAAAAAAAATCCTTTTTTTTGTTGTTGTTGCCKGCAGGATTTGGTTAAGAGGACTGTGTCCATCTGCAACTGTTGACTGATATTTCTGATCGAAGTGGGACCCCATCCCAAATGGAGACTGTCAAACTATTATTTTTTACGTTAGGACTTTGGATATAGAGTAAATGCTCACCAGAGTTGCCAAACCATTTATTGACTTTGTAGAGGAATACAACTGCAGACCCATGTCCCTGTACACTGAAGTCACAAATAAATTGTTTGCACACCTCTGGATAGCAGGATTTGTAATTAATAGCCTCTTGTTTAAACCTCATGGGGTTTTAACCCCTTTGATGCTATTTTGTATATATTTGATGATACTATTACCCAGTTAGGAACTGCTGTCACACAGTGCCTTGGTGTTTATTTACAATAAAAGCTGAAACAATAATCATTATTAAATCAGTGTCCCTCTTTTAGAGGAAAAAAAATCCTTCTCAAGGCAGGAGCAAGCAGAAGAACAAACTTCTATTAAACTCGCTACTTTGGCTCTAGTGGACCATCAAGGAAAGCAGCACTCAGTCAAGACCCAAATACCCACAAAAAAAGACTATTTGAGGGAAGAGCTCCCCGTTAACAGTATCTGCTACTACTGTGGCAAAGCCCTGGGTAATCCCTGCCATGATGTTATCCATCGTTGTCCATGGATGACGCTGAAAGTGCTCGAAATTAGCAGGACGCAGCGTCCACATTTGATGCGACCTAGAAGAGCTTCAACAGGGAAGAGTCGGCTGCATTTGTGAGAGCGGGGATTTGGGGACCCTTCAGGCAAAGCAGGCCAATGATTCAAGGTCTCCTGGGTTATGTGGGGAGTGCTCAGATTGTTGCCACATTGCCTTAAGTGTAGGTAAATCAGATGAAATTCCCTCTTTGTGGGTTCAGACACCCACCTTCAGGAGCGAGGCCTGGGCTGTTAGCCCGAGAGCTTTCCCATGATATAGGCTTCACTAGAACCTCACCTCAGCATTTCTTTAAGGTCAGCTTAGGAGGGCTCAGCTCGATGCACAAGCTCTTGCAGACCACATTATGAGCAGCCATGCAATGCAGAGAAAGCCTGTGCGTTATCAGGAAGGATGACAAAWTCCAGACATTGTCAGATACCTACAAGTTATCACTGCACATGACCTGGAAGGCTGTAGCAGTCTCTCATAGGTCTAGTATGACAGCAGCACAGGAACTTCAAACCTTGCACTATTCAGCCACTCAAAGGTGCATGAATTATCATGTTTCTGGCTATGAGGGATACATATATACTCACTTCCACATGCTGGCAAACTGCCCATTCACCTAGATTAAGCCTTCAATTTTAGCCCTATCTTGAAAGTAAGTGCATTAGCCACAGCCTGTCCTGCTCTGTCCTGCTCAGCAATGGAAACACAAAGTTTTAAGGTATGTATTTAAAGTTTTCACTTTGGAGGCACATTTTAAAAAGCGATTTTCCACTAAACAACAGAGCAAGGGCTGGAACCCAGGTTTCCCACATACCTAACCCCTAAACTATCAGGTATGTGGGAGCAGYGACAGTTGAGCCTCTTCCACTGAAGTTGCTCTTTTTTGACACACGTAAGTTCACAGGTGAATCCTGGAGTAAGAGAGGACACAGATCTCCTGCATCCTGGGCCAATCCACYGTCCAAATCACTGATTTTTATCTGCTTCAGTTCTCATTCTCATTATGCTACAACACTGACATGAAACACAGTTGCCCCACTTAAGCTGTGAAGGCAAAAACTACAGGTTTTAAAGAGCGTGGGTAGCAATTTCTTTTSTTAGTGAAGAACATTTGGGGGATTTTTTTTGTTAATTTACGGTGAGCAAAGAAATAAAGCTATTGCTAAAATTAGTGTAATCAGCTGCTGCTACTGCCTGAATTGTTCTTGATCATCACTAAATTACCTTTTCTGGTATTTCTATATGGGCATCTTTCCATGCATCTCTAATACTTGTTAATTATCATTTCCATTTGAATCAAACAAAAAYGTTACAAAGCAGAAGAAAATTATGGCACGGGAAAATGAGAGTTTGCACCACTCTAGTTTATTTTGAAAAGTGTCATGCAAATGGAAGAAAAATATACTACGCAGCATCGTGAGTTGTATCTTTTGCATAGATATTTCTCCCCTGCCCCCACAAAGAGTAATTTACAGCAGATTTTCTTGTAACTGGGATTATTACACAAGGAAAAATAAAGAGAACAAAATTATAGCAAATATTGGAAGTGGAAAACACAATTCTCTGTTTTCATTTCACAGTCCTTTAGTATTTATATTTGTCTATACAGCTTTATGCAGAAGGAAACTGCAATTACCTGAAAACTGAGTTACTGAATAAACTTTATACATTTGGAAAAGTCTCTTTCTCCTTTCAYGTTCAAATAAACCACAGCTTAAATAAACATTTAGGGTTGTTTTGTTCTTTTTTTTTAAAGAAAAGTCGTTTATAACGTGAAATGTCCATGATTTTAAAGCATGAATACCGAATCACGACCACAATTGCAAAATTATTTTTCAGCATTTAGAATATACTTTACAATTGGTTCTCTACTGGATGTCCAGAATTCCTTTGTCTTCATCTGTAGTTAGCGAAATTRAGCAAAAAAGTTGCCAGTGATACCAGTTATCAGCCAGGGTTACCAAACCACAAAAAGCAAATAKACTGGATAAAAATCTCATTGACAAAAACCTCCAAGGGACTAGAATGTAACCTTCACCAAATGCAAACATCTACATTCATTTTCTCGGGTTTAATTCCTTTTATCCTATTTATTCTTCACAAGAAGCGCTTCTGCCCACATCCCACCTGGGCTAAACTGGTGTCAGTTCAGCCATTCTCAACTACTCAGATCTGGCAATACAAAATATAAGTTTGTGCTGCCCTTTTTATTTCAACTGCAGTATTTACCATAGCAACCCAAGCACCAATTGAATACAAACCAGACACTGATTAAACAAATTTTAAGTTCTCACATCACCACAATAACTTTATTTCAATTCTACTTTTTCACTTTGGTCTCCTTGGCAAATAGGATTCAGCCATTATTTGTATATAAATTTYGCAGTTTTGAACAGTTTTCAACTATGGTGTTAAGAAGAAAACTTCTGAGGCCTCCACAAATAAATAGATTTAAAAAATAGTAAGTGCCACGGCCCTACCACTATAATTCCTTAAATTCAAGTTACTAGATGTACAGTTCAGTCTCCTGTCCCGGCTACCCTGGCTAAGCCTCTCACAACTCCAGTGCTGAGGCAGTTGCTGAAGCCGCTTCTCCAGACACGTTCCTGTCACAAGTGGAGGAGAAGCAGGACACATTCCGGGCTGAAACCACCTTTTGGTTTATGTGAACCTGGGTAAAGTGCAGGATTACTCCTCAAACACTTCTGTGAACAAACACRCTAACATCCCCTTCCGTAGATCCCTGCTAAAAATCACTACGTGCTGCTTTTGGAGGCTTCCAGGTAGAAGTTACCAACAATTCTGTTATTCTGTGGTTTCCTTCCTTTTTTCTAGCTGAGTCAAAAGGAAACAAATTAAGACAACATTTAAGACAAATATTCATTTTATCATTCTATTTTTTCTTGCTCATCTTGGCTCAATATTTAACTTTAATTCATATTATTACAGACTGGGACCATATGCTTTCTCACTRCATCAGCATTTCACAACATACACAGCATAATTAACAAAACGACTTAATTCTGTGCAGCTAGTTTTATGAGGCATAATAATTTTGGTAAGGCAACATAAGTGTTTACAAGACACATAATTATATACTTATAGCCTTCCTCTCCCCAAAACTCACCTAAAAAACTGAATATTCTCCTGCTGTTCTTCTGTTATTTACCTTCACATTATCCTACACCTGATATTTTAGATATTTAAACTGAAAGAAATGCAGACAARTTTAACCGTTTCCCATTGTTAGTATTTAAAACTGTGCCAGAATACTGTTCATCTGATTTAATTAATACACATAAGTAGTAGGTGCAACAAAGCAACCTGTCTAAAAAATCCAGGGAACAAACTGTTATTTCATATCATTRATAATAATTAAAAAAAGAAGTATTTTTAGAAAATTGCAAACATTTGTCTTGACAAGAAAAAATGCATATACTTTTAGTTTTCATTTTCATACAATTTTTTAGAATGGATTGAAAACAGACTATATAGTAACTGATGTAAAAGAAAGCTTGGGATAATAGGTAAATTCAGTCTAATTTATAAAACCAAGACACATCAGACCAAAGTATATGTTTGCATTTTTCTTTATTAAAATTATGGCACTTAAATTATAGCAGAAATAAGCACGTGGCTTCACAATCAGAAGCTGTACAGTTTTACTAACAGCAAATTTCTTCCCATTGCCAATAATTCCTTGCAAGTAAGATTTTTCTGATGAGAACAAGCCCTTTTTTCTTTTTTAAATTTGCATTTAAAAGCAAAAGCCTTTGTTGKTTTTTTTTTCCTCTTTTGGATTACAACACTGACAGCCATATCAACCCTAGGAGCTCCATGCTGTTTATTTTCCTTTACATTCTATAAGTTAAATTACGGTTTCACTGTGCTATCAGGTAAGCAATTATACCAAGTCACTGGTAAATGACGAACATTTATGTAAGACGTGGCTGATTCAGCAAAGAAAAACTGTTTAACAAGATTCTCCCTCCTTGTCTTTGTACCAATAGCTAATGTTGAATATTTCACGTGACATTATCAAAASTATTACAAATTATAAAGGAGAGGGTGCAAAACAAAAGTCAGACTTGTCTAGGGCTGTAGTGAACAACAAAATAAGAAAAGCAACACATTGCAGCACCTTGTGGCATGTAACAAAAAGAGTGTCCACTGTCCACTGAATTTTCTACTACCAATGTTCATCTGTGGGAAAAAAAATAACCCATATATATATATATACACACACATATATATGTGCGTGTGTACACACACGAAGGCACACACACAGAAAAAAAGAAAAGAAAAAAAACACTCAAGCATTTAAACATTTGAAAACTGAGTTCGAATCTGTGGTTTTCAAAAAGAAATTAGAAAAAAAAATCAGAAAACACTGTTGTAACGGTCACTGGTTTTACATCATCCACATGCATTTTTTCATTAAACAAAAGATGACAGGCTCTGGAAAAAAAAAGTAAATTAAATAGCTAATTACTTTATAATAAAGTGAAYGCATTCAATGCATGACATGAAGTTGCATGTTAAATCAAGTATCATTATTTAAGATCAAAATGCTGTACCAATTCTCCCAGGTACTGAATTATCCTCTGAGTGTTCACAATGTGATACTGCAGCAAATTCATAATCAGATCCAGCTGATAAGAGTACTAATATGAGTGACATGAATGTCCACAGAACACAAAGAACACAGCAGTGCTTTGGAGCCAGACTTCTCCAGAGTTATTTTCATTTCCATCCCACTTCCTATCTCATATTATATCCAGTCTTAAGATTAGTACATTGAGAAACGACACGGCCTTTCTGGAAACATAGTATTAAACAAAATAAAATCTAACATGGAGTTTTAATTAGAGGTTTCATCTAACAGAAAGCTAAGCTTTGGTTACATAAAGTGCAGTTCAATAATGTGCCAATTCACCACAATATTGTACATACAGCTAATTTCTGCAGCTCAGTTTCCTTACAAATTAAAAAAAAAAAAATCATGTTTTACAGTTTGCTTATACAGCAGGCTCAGTTTAAAAAATTTAAATTCTCTTCAGTTCTAAGTACTTCAATACCATCCACATACGTGCACTGTATTTCTAAACTGCTCGGTTATGTGTAACTTAAACTTGTCCAATAATCTTACATGTGTAACTTAACCTTGTCCAATAATCTTACAGCTACATTTGTATCTCATCACATTAAATATCTAAGCTCTCGAGAAGGCCATTTTCTAACCTCTCCAGCTCTCTTACACTTTCTGTTGTATAAAGTTTTCAAGTTTTATTATGATACAAGCGGTACATTCCATCACCCTCATAGCAACTTCCGAAGTAAACCGATCGTTGGGAATCTGTGGGAAAGGCAGCAGGTCAGGATACCTAGTTTTTAAGCTATCCACCCCGTACGCTTCCAGCGTCTGGACATCATTCATCAGCCCTTCCAGCTGCTGGCTGTATTCCTCAATCTTCTGCGCCAGAGCTACGGGCTTCACATCCTTATCAGACTTGCCCCTCACGGCGTAGTCGGCGGCCACCAAGGCGAGCTTGGTGGCCAGGTAGCACTTGAAGCACACCCACTCGTTGGCGTTCTTGTGCAGGTCGTTCCTGGCGGCGGAGAAGTTGGCCCGGGCCTGCCGGAGCCAGCGCCGGGCCTCCACCGGGTTGCCCACGGAGCGGAACGTGGGCGGCACGAAGAAGCGCTGCGAGTACGAGGGCCCCGCCGGRGCGGGACCCTTCTCCTTAAACTGCTGCCTCTCTGACTTGTGGCTCGTGGCTTCCTGGTTCCAGGAAGTATAAAAGCGCTTAAAGGAGAATTTGTCTGACTGGAACCGGGAAGCGGAGGAGGAGAACGTTCTTCTTGACGTTCTGTCCATATTTTGATCTATAAAGGCCTGTTTCTCTAGCCTGTTGATCTCATTCTGCAAATGCTTGAAAACTTCATTAGCTATCTCAAGGTTCTCCGCGTTTTTATCGGGATGCCATTTAAGGTACAGCCTTCTGATGATCTTTTTTCTTTCGGATTCCGGAAGCTTCCAAGCCTGTTCAATCACAGATGTCACTTCTCTTAATATTTCTGGCAAGGAGTTTGGCTTTATCTTTTTTGGAGAGTGATGCTTGGAGGACGTTGTCTTGTGGCTCTCCTTGCCGGTGAAGAGAGGTGGAATCGTCCTCAGTCCGTGCATGGGGAATTCTGTAGGACTGGTCGGGGTGGAAGGTGTGCTGTCCCTACTCTGAGCACTTTCTTCAGGCCTCGAAAACTTGTACAAATCAAGAGAGCTCACTATTTTATACTCGCTATATCCGATATCAATCTGATAAATCTTACCTAAAAAACTGTGACTTTCATCATCTTCTCTTTCTACTTCTTGTACAATGATCGCGTATGTGTAAGTTGGTTGATAGGATCCATATATATCACCGCCTTCGGCGTCAACAAGGTAACCAACATACTCACCGGGATAAAACACGTTCATCGGATCCATGAGGAGCGTATAGTGAATTTCAGCTGGGATAGGAGTGCCAGGCGTTGGTAGTTCGAGCTTTGATGGCTCTGAAGAGTCATACTTGACTCCTAAACTGTCAAGCTTCTCGCTAAGCCGGTAGATATCGTTACAACCCAGCATGGCAATTAGATACGAGGTATCAGAAATCAAATTGTCAGTAGCCGATTTCAAGGTCATTGCTAATGCTAACAGGAAATTGATATCTTTGCTGTCAGAGTGCTGTATGTACAGCAGTATCACTGCATTTCCGTATCTCTTTAGGAAGGCAAATGTTTCGCTTTTACTGTGGGGAATAGGAGCAAAACCTTTAACTCTCAGTGTCGTTTGCAACTTCTCAAAACAGGAAACTTTCAGACCTTCCCGCAAAGCTTTGCAAAGTCTTATTGCTTTTTCTTCGTTAGCTAAAAAAGCATTGTCATTTTCATGCTTCATAATCCTAATAAGGCCTGTGATGAACTGTTCTGAAGATAACAGTAACTGTAATCTTCCCTGCAGAGAACATAATGCCCCAAAYTGACAAATTTTTGGACACTCTTCATCCAGCTGTTCTTCCAGAATACTGCTAAGTAAGCGAGGTCTCAATTTCTGAGGAAATAACATGATCAGTTTAGTGTGAAAGCCATGGTCTTTGCCCAAGTAACACTGGCTAAGATCAACAAGCATTTGCACACCAATGTTACCCTGTATTCTACTTTTGTAGTGAGGTGCATCATCAAAAACTAAGATACTCGACTTTACCAACCTACCATCTTGACTGGGGAGGTAAAGGGCAAACTCCTTCATGTTCTCAAGGTCATTTCTAACTTTGACAGAATCATTTTGCAGACTTTTGAAAAGGCCAGAAACTACTCGTTTAACTGTGCGCATCTCATTGGGATCCAGCTGCTTCCCTTCTGAATTCTTGAATATGCGACCGAGAACTTCAACGTACTGCTTTGTCGAAATGACATCTTCGGTACCCAAATGTTTAAATAACTGATGGAAAGTGCCAAGCTCTAAAGGAAGTTTGTAAAGGTAAGGCTTAAAATCAGATTCGTATTCCAGGTTTATTACTACCTCTTCAGGCTTCAGGAGCTTCCAGCCTTCTTCCACCATTACAAAAGAAACTCCTCGAAGCTGAAAGCGGAATTCCCTTTTCTCTGTACTGAGAAATTCATAAATGCTTCTCAGGACCTTGGCCCTCGTTTTCACCATCTCCTCATCCAAAGTTGTTATGTTGCATATGTTCCTGCAGTTATTGATAACTTTGTCCAAGGGAGGATCCAAATTAACATTCAGCATAGTCAAAACCTGCTCGAGCTGTTCCTGTGAACCCAGGCTGCTTCCTTCTTGTTCTTTGATGCTCAAGGGCGTTGCTTTCTCGGGAAGAATGGGACATGAAGTCCACAGTAACTGTAACACATCAGTCTGCTTGAACTTAGGATTTACCTGGGCACCATTGAATCGTATAAGAGGAAGCGTCCCATTAACTTCTTGATACTGAGGATGAAATCTAACAAACTCCGCAGGGGCTCGCTCAGGGCACAGGAAAGGAATCAGTGACAACTCTTTCAGAAAGTTTCCCGACAAGAGATCAGTTCTTTCTTGAAAGATGTGATGGAGGAGGACATCAACAGTATTCTGGAGAGTTTCCTTTGACCAGTTTTCTGTATTAGCTCGCATGCTGATCTCCTTAGCAAACTGCAGTAACTGCTGCTGTGAAATAATGAATTTCAGTCCGATATGCCGTAGGAAAGTTACCCACGATGTAAGGAACGCAGCTTGATTCTTTGGTTTTGTAAGTTGTTCCAGTTTCTTAAAAAATTCTTGAGGTATGAAGAATTTTTCAGGAAGCATAACTTCAAAGACCCTTACAGTTCTGTCATAAAAATATTTTGCAGGTTTTAATCTATTGCCTGAATCATGAATGATCAAAATGCTTTCTAGCTTTTCAAACAGCTGTTCCTTCACTTCTGAAGTTTCCTCAATGCCAGTTAGCCTATTCTTTAGGTAGATCAAGTGTTCTAATTTGGCATCGTAAGACAGACCTTCAATTTTTGGCAGAAGATGTTTCAAATACACCTCAAGATCATCCACAGAGACGCAGCCAAGCACTGTGTACAAGTCTTTCAGGTGAATTTTTTCTTCAAGAAAAGCTGATGAAGTAGATTGTGTCCATCTATCGACTTCTATCGATGGGATGCTTTTTGTGAGCACGTAACAGGTCCCATATTTTGAAATGCTGATGTATCGGCCGCTAATGGATTTATAGCATGGAAGAGACTTTAAAATTTTAATGTCATCCTGAGACGTCAAATGACTTAAATTGCAATTGAAGTACATTAAAAGAGCTTCAAAGTCACTTTCTGCTAATTTTTCCGTCTTAAAAGTTGATGTCTGTACCATGTATTGTATGGCTTTCAGAATGCTTGAAGGATTATCTATATTTGCTGTACAACCCGACAGCAAAGGCACTAAAGCACTGTCCTTGGAGCAAATTTTGTTCAAAGCCAGCTGAATACAACCTGTTTTCATTAAAGCATGGAAGACTTTATCACTCTGAGCATTTGGGAAAACAGCTATATGCATAATGCTGAGGGGCAACAAAACATCACACTCTGGCACCACAAGATGATTAGCTGAGACAGTAAACTTTACACCTGGAAGCAAAGTCCAGTCCTTCAAAGTTTCAACAACACCATCAAATTTTGCTTGCATATCTTCTTGGTCTTCCTTAACATTTATAGACTCACTAATAAAATGCCAGGCGTTTTTAAGCCAAGATTCACTTGCAAAGTTTTCTTTCCATTTCATACAGTTTTTGGTTTTATACTCTCTAGGCAACACAGATGACAACAAGTCAGCAAAACTTGTGATATCAAAGACTTTTGCCACCTCACTGCTAAGTAAAATAGTGTTGTATCTCAAATACAATGTGTTCATAAAGAGATCCTTGCGAGACGGAATCAGTTCATGATATGTTGTTAAGAACTTTGGTCGCTTGGAATCAAAAATTTGCAAAACATTGTCCAGGGTAATGAGGAGTGGCAAGCCCTCAACCTGGATTTCATTTTCTTCTGCATCCTTAAAACAATAGTCAACCAGAAGCTTCAGACTGTGGAAAAGTTTCAGATTTGTCTGCTGAAGACGACAAGGTAACTTCCCGATRTGACAAGTGGAGTCTGGAAAAGAAAATGTCATCAAAAAGATTCGGACGTCAGCAGGCGTCACGTAGGTAACAGGAATGTCTGCATCTATCAGACAGTGGTAAAGGTTTGCAGTTTCATCACAGTTATACACCAAATTAAATCCRATTTCTAGAAGTAAATGTTTGAGCCTGTAAACATTTTCAGCCACYGTCTTGCGCGTTGTGATGTTGTACTCTGTGTTCTTGAGATGCTGCAATTCATCTTGCAGTAAATTGTCAAAAAACGGTCTCCCTTTGTTGGCAGTAGACATGTTAACCCAGGTGATGATCACAGCCGAATGCAAATCGGAACCATCAATGTTTGGAGCTCGCATAACAGGCAAAAGACGCTTCAGATCCTCATAAATGCAACTGTAAACTGCTTTCACTAAACAATACCAATCCGGCTGAATGTCAAGCCGGTTAACAGGGAAAAAGGACAAAAATTTTTTTAACGTGTCTTTCACAACATGAATAGGTGTGTTTTGCAATACTGATACTGTAGGGTCGGTGCCTGGAAAATACCGTTTTTTCAGCTGAATTAGCAGCTCAACATAGGCCGGGGCTATCAACGCTGTCATTAGGCAGTTATTCCAGTCACTTCTTACTCCAACGCCGTTATCATCACGCCACAGATTTCTTCTGGCAGAATCCAGAGCAAAGTGGCCATTCACGTGAAAAGGTAACCCAGTTTCTAAGGACAAAGGCAAGAAACAGAACGCCCTGTGGGGTTTTTTGTAATTATGAGTAATGCAAGCCGCTACTCCCCCACGTGGGAAAAGAGTAATGTCCTCGTTCTTGTGGGCCGATACAACACTCTTGGACACCTTTTCCATGGCGGAAAAGCCTGACCTGTTACAAATTAACCAAGTTGTAAGATTCCCTTCCGAGTCCTCAGTATCCATCGTGTAAGTGATCTGCTGCACAGGTATTTCACTTAGCTGCCTTTTTTTAGTAACACTATCAATTACCGACGCGTGGAATTGCTTTCTTTTCAGTCTGTCTCCATCRGTGATTTTGCCTTGCACAGAATATAAGACGTTGAGTACTCCTGTTGTTTTTTCTATCTCACAAATAGAAATTTTTTCCATATGGTTCAGAAACATTAGAAGTTCTGCCCCATCCGTACGCAGCTTATCTAAGAGATTTTGGACCATTCTATCTGAACATGGAACGGAGGAAATTTCTGATACTTTGGCCATTTCTGCATTTCGAAGAGGAAACCGGAACATGGTACAGTTATCCAGCTTAAAGTGATTTCCTAAATAGAGGTCCAGCACATCTGAGAACTGTGTTCTGAAATCTGCATCCAAATCTCTAAACATGCGCCCAGGACTAGTCGATGTTGAGCCTGGTGCATATCTAGCATGAGGATCAAAAATACAAAGAATATCGTTGCCGGAGAGGAAAGAAGGGCAATCAGTAATATGATAAACAGAATTGAAACCTATCCCGTACTGTCCAGTTTTACAGGGATTTCCTACTTTTGTACCTTTTCCAAGGTTCTGGATTCCTCTAATATCGTCTTCTGTGAAAGGCTGATTGTTGTAAACACACAACGCTGGTCCTTGAAGCGGCCCCCATTTCTCATCAAATATCCTGTCAGCCGGGTGCTGCCTGGGATCAAACACAAAACAGATTTCTGTGGCTTTTGCATCATCTGCATTCTGAAGGAGCTCTTTCAGCATCTCCTTTTCTGATGGGTAGGCATTAAGGATGCTCTTAATTCTGCTCGTCAGTTTTTCTTTCTGGCCAAATTCTGTGCCAAGGGTAGTAAAACAGATATTAGATGCGTATCTTTCTAGAGCTTTATGTCGCTTTGGTATCGCTCCAAGCTTAACTGCAACTTCCCTTGGAATATCAGCATGGCAATACTTAACAGTTGTGTCTTTAACTTTAATCCATGGACAGTCGTTGTAACACAAGGAATTTGCAGGCAGAAGTGCAAGACGAGTATCAGGCAACAATATCTCACCATACTTTTTCTCACAAAATTCCTGCTTCTTCTCTCTAATGAGGCTCCATATTCCTTCACTGATGATTCTCCTGCAAAGCTGAAAATTCTCTTCTGTCAGTTGTTTGGTTCCTCTTTCCTGATTTACCAATTCCAAGACGAGGGCAAAATCTTCAACTGTGAAGGCCTGTCTCACACCCACACTTTCAAACAGTTCACGAAAACTATTTTTATACTTATTAGGCAACTGATAGAGATAAGGTGCTGCTTCAAAATTCAAATGGAAAGACACTTTTGCTGGATCAACATACACATTCTCAACGAGAATAAAACTACAGCTTTTCAGTTGTTCAATTATCACAGCTTTTGCTGATTCATTTTCTAACATCGCTTCATGCAGATTTTTGTAACATGCATTAGTGATATTTTCCTGATATAATGTAATTCCATCAAATGTCTTAGCAACTTCTTCCAGCTGATTTATGACCAAATTAACGTCCGGTTTCTTAAGCAACCCCAAAAACTCTTTGACAGCTAATGACAAAGCACCGCAGCCTTTAAAGGAAGAGGAGTTTTCATTAAGAATTGGTTCTATTAGACAAACTGTATCTTGATGATCAGCAGTAAAAAGATCAGTAGCTGAAAACATGGTTTCAGGCTGAAAATCGCTGCCCTTCCAGTGCAAGGAGAAGCCTGCTGGTTTGCTAAGGAAGGGAAGGAAAGGGATAGTTTGACATTTTTCAGCGAATTCTTTAGCTCTAGGATCCCTACACTTCAGTTTTTCATCAATAAGACTCAGTATAATACTGCTTCTGAGGCAAGCTGCAGCATGGTCAATCTTATTAATTTCTGCTACTGACTCTGCACGTTCTACCAGATCTTCCCATAAAATATCATCTTTAGCCATGCCTAACTGAACAAGTTTAACCAAAATAACGGGGTTCAGATAGTCCTGAGTAGTGCCGTAAGGAAATCTTCCATCTTCTGCATCATATAACTTTGCAACTCTTCCTTCAGGGTGGATCAATCTTGAGGGTGTAACCAACGGATGTCCATTCAAAGAACAAGGAATACAAGGGGTAACGCGAAGAATTCCCGAAAACTCCTCAACTTTTTCATTGAGGACATAGCGCATCAAAGGATCACGCAGCTCTGCGTCGATCTCCTGAACATTAGGGAAAAATACCTCAGAAAAGAACTGTTTCTCAGAAAATGTGTTCTCCAATARTATGTGCTTGCATCCTGCTTCTTCAAATCCTATCTTTACCCAGGAAGGGAGATCTACAGCACACAGGTTTCTGGAACCAGTTTTTTTAAGGTACTTCAGAAAGATCTTAAAGGCTGATGGTCCAATGTCTGGCCGTTTTAGTATTGAGTCATCCAAAAACCTTACATTCTTCATGGAAACCCAAGAGAACCCATCAGAAAATACTTTGATGCCTTCTTTGCTTTTCATATGAGCTATATCTTCGTAAAACCCTTGACAAATAACAGAAAAATCATCATGAACTGAATCAGGGTCAGGCCACACTGCAAAATAGCTGTAGTCGACCAGCTCACCATTGATGGCCATGTCACGTAAGACACAAAGCGCTTCCAGGTAGGCTTTCACAATGACATGCCTCATGAACACTGTGTTCCACCTTCCTTTTGTGTCTGTTTTCCAGATCTCTTTCCGATTTGAAGTAACTGCAAAGCAGCCGTTTATATGCAGAGGCAAACCTGTTTTTATTCGCAGAGGTAAATAGCAGAACACTTCCCCTATGGTGTTGCAATTAGGTTTCACAAGCCACTTTTGATCCTGAGTTTCAGAGAGCAGCACTCCTACTCCACCACATGGAACGAGACCCAGCCTTCGTCCACTCTCATGCAAAGAAAACTTTAAAGCCTCCCCTGTATCCATGCAAGAACAGAGAAGCCAGGTCGTGGAATCTACTGATTTTTGTGGCAGTTCATCTGCTGATCGTTTGATCGGTCCAGATTTCGCCATTTCGAAGAAAGAAGCCGGATCATCCTCTGGACCTCTGAAAAGTGGAGACTGTAGATCAGCAATCCGTCTAAATACGTGATGAAATTCTTCTACTACTATCTGTAAAATACATGAGGACTTGGGTGTTTCACTGGGGTGCTTTTTATTGCTGCTGCTGCTGCAGACCTTCATTAGTTTAGCTGCTTCCTTTAGGACACTGACATTGGGTGCAGTCAACGCTTTGGAAGAGCACTGCTTTTTTCTAATAGTGACAACATCTTGGGCCATCCCAGGATCATCTTCCTCAATTTTCAAGTATTTCAGAACCATTGTATTTACACTCTGAGCAAATATGATCAGCCTATGGCCACAAAGGCTGAATTCATCCACAAGAGAGTAAATGTCTGCTGTGTTGTAGGATGTGCTGCTGACTTCACTCACTTTAGCTTCCTGTTGAGTTCTGAAGGAGAGTCTGAAGAGGGTCCCGTTGTAGCTATAAGGAGATTCTACAGCCAACGGCAACTGGCAACCAAAAACTCCAATAAATGGCTTAAACTGATTGGGAAACTTCCGCAGTCGCTTCTGTTGTTTGCTCCAGTTAATTTTGATGCCTGGGTTAGATTTATCTCTAATATGCTTGCTGATATGGTTAACATTTGGATCAAACATAATCATGAACTCTCGACTCAAAATAATAGGAATATCAGTGATATGATAAACAGAATTAAATCCCAGTCCAAATTTCCCTACTTTGTCAACCTCACTCCTTTTTAAAGACTCTCCTAATCGAGTTATATTTAGAAAATCAGAGTCAGAAAACTCAGAATTATTGAACGACCACAGAGCTGGACCATGACACGCTGCCATTCCTGGATCCAAAAGATTCTCTCTTATGTCCATATTTCGTCTCAGGTCAATCATGAAATTACATTCACTTGCATTGGCATCATCAGCATTTTGAAGCAGCTCCTTGAAGATATCTGAAATGGAAGGGTATTCTTCCAAAATATTTTTAATTCTTACAGTCAGAGGTTCTCTTTGTCCAGATTGCTCAAAGCCCATATTTTCCGGATTAATTAATCTTGTACTAAGGCATGGGACATTTAACCACTCTGCTGTTTTCATTGGAATGTCTTCATGCACCAAAATTATTGGTTCAACGGAATCTTCAAGCAAATCATTCAAATCATCAACTTTGATATCGCAGTAACAGCACTCATGAATTGGCCTCATTGCAAGTTTGTAAGGAATTTTTCCACTGTATAAAGGCATAGGCATATGCAAACTTGCAGGGATTTGATTGCTGTAAAGCCACCTTATAATACTCAACATGATGTGAAGATTTTGCTTACTCTCTTCTTCTGAGAGAGACTGCTCACTTTTCAGGTATATCTTCTGAATGACCATAGAAACGTGGTCTGGTGTTAACTGCTCAATTGAACCACAACATTTGAACAACTGGTGAAATTTAGCCATAGTTTTTGGCACATAATGTAGATAAGGCTGGAGGTCAAGATCAGGTACTGATTTTATTACTGCTTGTGTGAGGGAACAAAATGTYTTACCAGTCCAAACCCAGGGAAATTTCAAGGCTTTAAAAGCTTCTTTACCTTCTTCTAAGTGATCATGCATAAATCCATAAATTTCAAGTAAGATATGCTGAAACTGGTAATAGTCCTCATCACTGAAGGTTTTAGAACTGTGCCAATCAACCACCACCTTGAAGTGCTTTAAAACTGCTTTTATACTAGGTTTGGAGGGGATGCCAAGTGCTTTTTCTATATTCAAATGCACATTTTCCACAAGGGGAACAGAGGAACCAACTAAAATTGCATGAGATGCATCACACATTTCTGGGGGGCAACACAGATTACACTGATCTCCTTTCCATACTAAGGATCCTGGATAATTTGGAGGTCTTTCCTTACATGCAGGAATCCACTTTATTTTTTTCAGTGCAGTTTTTGTTTCCACTGAGTGAAGCAGCGTGTGGTTTTTGTTCAAAATCATCAAGAGAGTTCTGGCTTTTCTCAATAATAAATCGTGATTGTTATTTGAATTAGCATGCAAACTTTCAATTTTATTTGCCACTCTCAAAATATCATTTTCATCAAGATCAGCTTCACTTTTTAAGCCAATTTGTCTTAGAGAATGAAGAATATCTGACGAAGCCGTAAAAATAGTAGGTGGGAAACAAATTTCTTCCTCAGCATAAAACAAGTTTTGCAGTAGTTCTACCTCAGGATCAAAGAGCTCATTTGCTGACATCATCTTCTCCTGGGAAATCTTAATAAACTTCAGGGATGTCARCCAGTCTATGACATCTACATTCTCATTTTTCAGAAAAGTCAGATTTTCAAGAACCCACTGCATTATCTGTGCTGTTTCATCATACGAATAAAAATCACTTTTGATGTCTTGTATAATAAACTTCAAGCAGTCTGTGCTTTTCAGCTGTTCTATTTTCAGCAAGGTGGATAAGCGGATGGTGGCTTCATCACTGCTGTCAATTATTGGAATAGAAAATCTTAGACCAGGAGGGATCTTGGCAGTGTGATGTAATACCCTACAGCCTTTCAGCCCAGTAAAAACAGGGACGCTTTCATCAGATGATTTTTCAATTTTTCTGAATACCTGCAATTCCTGAATAATTCTTCTCTCTTTTTCACTTGCATCAGCTAAACTAGCTAAGAATCCTCTAAGAGCATCTTTATGTGTTGCTGGGAATGATGCAACCTGATTGCAYAGCTTCTGTAAGGACATTTTTTCCATTATTTGTAGAACAGCACTTGGCAAYGGTGGATGTATGTATTTTTTTATAAGTGGATGTTGTATAGAAATATCTAGCTTTTTAAGCACAACTCCACCAACTTTCTGAATAATATCAGCTATATATTCTGGGAGCTGAGTCTCAGATTCATCATCCAGAATGATAGGTGATGGATTCCTAAGTCTAATCAGTTCCACTGATGTCTGGTTTTCTTCCAGCAGTGTCTTGGGAATAAGTGGCATGTCATCAAACAGGCTTAAGTCATCAGCAAAATGTATGTATAAGTTCTTCCAGACCATCTTAAGCCAGCAAACCGATGGGTGACTTTGGTCTTCTAAACCTGGACACCACTGTACCACCATGTCTCTGCCAGGCCAGACACTGTTCATAACTTCTTTAATTAAACGGGCAAATCTTTCTGGGTTCAGAAGCTGCAGTTGAGTGCACGGCCTTCCTGAAATTACAACAAAAGGACAAAGCCATAAAAATCAAATTTGCACAATAAAATGCTCTTTAAAGGGCCCTGTCTTTTCTTTTTGTGGAAAACACTCTTAAGTAAACTGGAAAATAGAACTTTTTGACAACACTTCAAATATCTTCCCTTGTCTTTTTAGAGGTTAATGAAAACCAACTACATTCCATATTAGTATAAAAACAAGTTGAAAATGATTAGTACATTATTGCATTTGTTAATCTGAGAGATGGCTTTTCAGGCATACAAAACAGCTGAAGAGTTAAAAATAAAACTAGAAATTCAAGGATATTTTTCTAGTTGATTCTATATACCACTGATTAACAGAGTACTGTACTTGTATGTTCATAACTGGAAACRTAAGTTATTAGACACAGCAAAAAGCAGCCCAACAAGATTCAGTGTTCAACTCAAAGACTGAACCTATGTTTATTTCTACTCTTATTCTCAAAGCCTTCATTGAGAGATATGTTAACCCTCATATCTCAGTTACTGTTCAGACAGATCAAAATTAACAACTAAGGAGTATCTCTAGGATAGAAAAGAGTGCACAAAACAAAAATAYCACTTCCTCCTGCTGATACCAAAGAGAATGACAGAAACAGAAGAATAACACATCTATTTGAATTCCTTCCTTTCATTTAAATAGTACTGCTCTTTCATGCAAAGCCAAAGTCCAACTAAGAACATCACCTACTGTCCCTGTTCCACTGAAGATAGGCAGTTAGGATAACCTTCAGGAATAAGCTAGTTTTCTTCCACTTGATGCTCAGAGAGCTATGCATTATGTTAGCTGCTGTTAGACAGTGACAGCAGCCTTATGAACAGAGAGAAATACTGGGAACAGTGGGTTAGCAAGATGAGAAAACACCTAAAACTGAGCTAATTATTCTTATGCCCACTAGTTAGGCATGGACCTTTAAAAATACTGTTCTAATATCTCAGTGATTGATGCTAAAGCCCTGGAAATCTACATRTAGAGTGGATTAAAAACATGTAGAGACAACTAATGGAAGCATTAATCATTTTGCCTATAAGTGCTAAGTGCTAAACATTTTTCATTGATAAACATTTTTCCCTCAATTGTATTTAGAAATGTTTTCACAATTATCTTGTTATCTTTTGGGCAAGTTTTGCTTCCAGGAAAGCTGAGTACTGAAAACAGCAAGTCACCCAATCCACACAAATACCAAGCTTCAATCCAATCCAGCACATTATCAGTCAGTAACAGTACCTGAAAATCCCCAGAGAAGTTGTTGGGCTAGAACACAACCAAATCCATTTTTAGAAAACATTTAACATCTACTGAGTTACACATATACASATATATACACACATACACAGATATATACAGAAAGAACTACTAACATTTCTGTTTGCAATAAAAATACAGTACAAATTTTATAAAAAAAAAGATTTGGTTCTTCTTGAACACAATAACAGCAATAATAACAATAACAATAATAATAATTAAAAAAAGGCGACAATCCCATCTTCTGAAAGAAATCATTTTCAACACAGTGTTTTTCATTTTTTTCCTATCTCTGCAACTGTATCAGCAATATACCTGATATCAATTCCAGAATTATTTAGGTAAAGTTCTTGACAGGTGAGATTTCAAAACCTTCTCCCAAAAGAACACGAAAATTCAATACTTGTAATAACATATAACTTTTTAAGTTCTGCAGCTACACTTTACAACCAAGTAAAATTCTGGAAAAAAAGAATAATTCAGAAGGAAGGAGAATGAGTTATTATAAAGTAACCAAAATCTATTTWAAAAATCCTTAGACATTTTTAGAAGAATTAAACATGTCACTGACACATAAAAATATTTATATAGTTCTAATCAATGAGACCTACTAATGAAGAACAAGTCCCTGGAAGAACATAGTTCAAAGAATGTCAGAAGAAATAGAACAGAAAACTAGACCTCAACTGGAACCAAAACTCCTTCCTGGGAGCTATGGCAGCGTCTGCTGCACTGCGGAGACCGAGCCTGGAAGTTAAGACATGGCCCAAAAAGACCTCGGCAAGAGACCAATTAATGAGTCTAAAAACAGGCATTCCTGGCCAGAAAAAGGCAGCAGGGACTGGTGTTCCTTCCAAGTGAGGATCACCGTTTGCCACGGAAATTTTTACCACTCTAATCACACTGTGGCTGTCCTGATCCTGATCTCTATTTCTTCTAAAGTCTCGGTAATTATTACTTGAATAACAGCAGTTCTCTGATACCATTAGACTAAGTATAGTCACTGTTGTGATATCTGATTTTATAGCCCAAGAGTTTATAGCCTTTACATGAGAAAAAAAAAAAAAAAAAAAAAAAAAAAGTACTAAAAGAAAGAAAATTAAAGCAGGCATATCCCTACTACTGCAAGGAATAGCCAGAACATCCTACCTCTCATGATATGAGAGTTAAGGCTTTGGCAATTCTGTTTTAAGAAGAAAATTTTTCTTTATAACAATTTCAAATTTGTTGGTCTTCCTATTCAATGAAAGTCTCAGTAGTGATTTTATATCTTCCATAATATTTGCAGAGTTTGCTCTCTGAAATCCATCATTCCAATTCTTTCAATCCTTTTTTTTTAAATAGATTTTTGCTATGGTTTTAATATTTATGTTATTTGTCTTAGAATTATCTATTTTTTATTGTATTTTTAATAAGCAATAGTTGAACTATGAAGCATGGAGTATGTTTCTGATGGAGAAGACATGAAGCATTGTAAGGAAATAAGGAAGTGAGAACATGGGCTGAAGAAAGACAGTTACTGAAAAGACAATAATGAAGTTCATCAAGAGAAGCAAATGAGGTCAATGGTAATTCTACATCTGGTTCTAATATCTTCAGCCTAAAAAATAAATCCGATCGGTTGGACAATTTAAAAAGGGAGGTAATGTTTCCACTAACAGGCAGATTTTCTAGACAATTAACAAAACACTCACAGTATTAAAAAAAAGTGTGTTCACTACACTCTTGTTCACTACATTTTTGTAAGCAATATTGGAGGTCTTTCATAGATCTACTTCGACTCAACCATAAGCTATGAATTAAGACTCACAAAATACCTTGTGAAAGTGTATTGCCTATGGTGCGCTCAGTCTGAATAACTAAAACAGTTCCATCTGATTAAAAAAAAAAAAGCAATCAAAGAAAGTACTGATGCCATTACTTCTAATCATGAAATAAGGGGCAATCCACACTAAACAAAACATGGAAACACCTATTCACTTCCTGTAGATCTATAATCATCATCTCTTCCCTTTGCCTTTTTGTTTTAAGGAAAAATTTACCTTTTCAATTTGTCATTCCTGTTCCAATTGAGAAACGATACAGACTCTCATATCTTAATGAGTTTGAAATGACCAACCTACTTCTGTGAATACTATTTCAAATAAAATAATGCTTTACACATGGATTAAAAATAGTCTATCCAATTACTAGCAGTTTGTTTCACTATAAGGAAGAGAATACAAGAGAGTTATTACCTCGGCTTYTGGCAGCCTCTTTCAGGGCAGCTAGAACCTCAGGCTTGAGCTCATCAGAAAGTAGCCTTCCTTCAAGACCAGGGAAGAGGGATCTAACACGTGATTGAAGAAAAAAATAAAAGAACACGCACAGAAAGAAGAGATTTTAGTAAAGTAGCCAGTTCATTTGTAGGGCTACACAGAAATTAATGGGACATTAAGCAATCCATTCGAAGTAGCTGTTTATATATGCAGAAGAGAACTTTCAAAGTCCTATGTTTTCTTATAAATGATACATTTAGAAACACACAGTTGTTAATTAATTAATTTCCCAACTACACTGCTGTTCAAAGCAMCTTTAAGCTATTTTTTTCTTCATAGAAATACAAGATTACCATAAGATCAGAATTTTTTATTATTTATATTCTAGAAAAAATAATTGTAAAATAGCAAGCAGGGTTCTGTATCTCAAAAACTCTACTTGAAAGTATAAAGACATGGAATATTTCAGAACTTCAATAAATCCCCTGAATTCCAAAAGTCAGACAGKGATTAACACAACTAAGTGGCAATTTCATCCTGTCCCCGCTTCCTTTCTCTTTTTTATATATCCAGTTAATGCAGGGCCATTGCAATTATATATAGGTCAAAACAAAATCTTATTTGTTCTTTCACAGGTATGTATTAACAGCAAGGGAAAAAAAATACACACATACATTTATTTAAGTGCTTTAAGCAAGCTCCAAATTTAAATACAAAAACAGAAAACTCTTAAGTCACAGTTCCCTTAAAATATCTAGGAACACAAGTAACATATTAGATCAGTAATATTACAATAGAAACATCATGTAGTCTGAAGCTCTTTAGCAGTATTTGACCTGGAAAGGATGACCTAACAAAACAATACTTAAAATATTAAGCTTACCTTGGATAATCTTCTGAGGTTATGTAAACAACATCCTGTTCGGAMACAGATGAGGAAAAGGGAACAAAATTCCCATTCTGCAATGGTAAAAGGTCCAACCCAATGAGCTCACTGTAGACTCCATCAGAAAGCACAAACTCTAAGAGATGAAGCTTTTCTTCAGCAGGTCCACAGTGCCCGGATTTCCTCAGCACTTGCCGCACCACGGCAGGAGTCACTTTTTTCACAGCTTTAGCACTAGAAATAGTAAGCTGCAAAGCACTAGCGATATTTGCTGGTACCTTGGCAATTTGCTTCCCTGAATTCTGGAGGTAGTTGAGAACAGACTGTGTGTACTCCAAGCTCTCATCCACTTCAGAAAAGTGCACCTGTTCCACCTGTACCCACTGATTACTCACTGAGTAAATAACTGCATTCTGGAGCAGCTCTTTAAAGAGAGGTACTATGATTGGTTTCCAGGGTACCCTGGTTTTGTTCTCATCAGGCCATAGCCTGTAAATTCTTTCAGCTGACATGGGAAAATCCGAATTCATCTCCGTCTCCATTCGCTTGATAGCTTCCAATACAAGAGTGGTATATGCCTTTGGCACTATATTCACCACAAGAAGATCATTCCACAAAGCTGCGGGATCTCTCCACTGATCCAGCTCCCGCCATTTGATGCTCCTCCTGTTGTCCGTGAGTCCAAAGAAACCACTGACGTGAACAGGGAGACCTGTTTTGCTTTCTTCACCTGGAGGCAAAGGAAGAAAACAAAATGCTCTCCCTGAAAAGTCCGCGACAGCTCCCTTTTCCTCCCCATTGCTTGACAAAGACATGGCTATCCCAATAGTAGGAACAAATTTCAAGTCGTCGGCCAGACAGTCCAGTTCAGTGCACATTCCTCGGCCACCTACACAGTTACATACCAACCAAGATGTTTTCTGGGCATCTTTAACACTCTCATCTTCTAGAATTATATTTACATGGTACGTCACACAAGTTATGCTGTTGCTTGGAACGCCCTTACAGTACTGATTTATTGCAGTTCCCAAAATTTTGATAGAATTGGGTCTTTCGTGTTTCAAGGCCTTGTTCTCGCTAGCAGTTACTCTGAAAATCAGTCTCTCACTTCCATCAGCCTCCCTAACGTGCAAGGAAACATCCTGAACGCTCTTCAAGAAGAGCAACACTGTGTCTGCATCTGCTCTGAAGGACTCAAAGAGCTCCAAAACCTTCTGTTTGTCATAAACGTTGCTGCTCAGTTGGGAAGGCTGCAGGCGAAGCGGGAAACGAAAAAAAGTCCCAGGAAAGTTTCCATTCTTAAAAGTTTCCTTAGTGCTGCCAAAAACGCCAACGAATGGTGCAAACTGGTCTGCAAGTTCATTGATTTCTTTGCTGTCTTCTTTTAGATTCCAACACTGGCCTGATTCGTGAGGTCCAAAAAGAGTCTGATGGGGATCCAACATTCCAATTTGGTCACCACTGAAAATACTAGGGACATCTGTATAAATCAGACCAAATGTAAATGTTATTAATCCTAGAATAACATAATTTCCAGATTCAAACTTATAAAATTAATTTTAAAAACTCAAGAAGAAAAAGTGTTATAAAACTGGAGCGACTCTAATATAATTCCAATGACATATATCTGATAATGTGCCAACAGTACATAGGAAGAAACAAGCATATCCCTATTCTTCAACTAAATATACAAATAGCCACACAACTATTTGAATTCTAGAAAATACCGAGCAAGAACAGTATGATTTTTTCAACTATATATATTTTTTCATTCATACTGCAAAGATCTTAAAGCTTGCAAATAGTGATCTTGCACATTTAAAAGTAAAATTTTCTAAAATTATCAAATCACTGAATCTGTTAACAGAGCTTTTATTCATTCTCTGCAAGGTAAAATATTATGAAAAGATGATATCCTGTGCTTTACAGGCTCACACCATGGGAGTCAAAAGTTAAAAATGGTATTTCTGCAAAAATCTGCTTCTTATTCTGTGCTATTAAAATTACTATGTAGACTGTAAGCACCATTCCCTTTGCCCTCTTTTTGGCCAAAAGTAGTAAAACATTCCACCAAAAAAAAGCAGATTTCCAGATTTAATGTACCAGTTTGTGAAAGTATATTCTTATCAGTATACTCAAGTACTTCTTGCTTTAGGAAAAAACATCTATCTAGAAATAAACGTGTATATATTTCTATTACAGGGCAGCCTTTTTAAAGTAAATTAAAAAGGATCACTTCATATTATGATAGTTCTGTACAGTTTCCCTGCCATCTCCTATAAATTTACACATTTCTGCTGACATAGCTACCTTCTCTTATATACTACTATATAGCCTGCAATGCACAACTAAAATAACAACGTAGAGAAACGCTCTTTTCAGTGTAAGGGACTAACAATGTAACAACAGTACAAAAAAAAAAAAAATCTAATCTTTTGGGTATCTTCCTTCTTTGATCTCTCCTCTAAAGATCTAAGGCACTTTAGCCAGGTACTGAATGCAAAAGCACTACAGAGAATGGCACACGTTCCATGAACATGCAAGATAACTGAACATTTTACACGTCAACATTGTTACTTACAAGTAAGTATCAGCAATACCTGTTATATGATAAACTGAATTAAAGCCAATTCCAAATCTTCCAACTTTCAGGGGATCATCCTTTTTCCTGCTTCTTGCTATTTCCTGAATACCATGCCAGTCCTCAGGGGTGAAAACTGCATCATTGTATGCATAAAATGCTGGCCCTAAAATAAACAGGCAGGTGTAAAGAGGAAGACAGAAGAAAATCATTGTTGGAAATTTCTAGAAAGAGAACTCATAAAACTGAGAAAAAAAAATATATAGATATATAAATTATATTTATATATATATAAATGTATGTGCAGGTTTAACGGGGAGACTATGACTCAAACTGACATCAAATTACATTTGGTGCTGAAAGGCATGATTAAACAGTGGACCCCTCTATGTGCTATTTACGAGGTTGATATTCTAATATGGTATCCAGATTTTGTGTTCACATTTTAAAAGAATGGTTATGGGAAAAAAAAAAGGCAGAAATAAACAAAAAACTTCTGAAAGAAAATGTCCTGTGGTGAAAGAATCCAAATCTTTCCAGTTTATCAATAATATATTGGAAAGGTATACTAATCACAGTCTATTAAATACTTTTATGGGAAGATAATACATAGCCAGTTATCACAAGAACGAGTGTCTGGGAAGACAGACAAATTCACAACAGAAGACATAATAACAGGGTAGATTAACAGATGGAAAAGGTAGAGCAACAAATTAGAGGATCATTCATTGCTGAAACCTTCATAATGACAGTAAACACATTTGGGATGATTATGCAAAGTTCTTTCTTTGATAGTGATAAATATGTAACCAGAACGTATCACACAAAGACAGATTAGTTGGCATGAAAATCTTAAAGCTACAGGAAACTACATTTACAGTAGATAAGACAACATAAAGACAAGTTTGGTATAAAAACAAGGGAATAAAAGATGGGGAAGAAAACAGAATGGCTTGAAGGGTGGGGAAGTATAAAAGGCWTAGGTCATTAGTCAACTACAGCATAATTATATCATGAGTTGGAGATAAAATGCAAAAGATGGGCATAATATGTAAGTATTGGAAAACTGTTGCCCAATACTCAAAGTGTTCTCTTAAGTCTTGCTTATRAAATCCTGTGTACTTGTTTCACTAAAAATCCTTTCTTGTATTTTGGAATATCATGCGAACCAAAGAGAATAAGCCAAAATATACAGAGCCTCCAAGGTGAAAATGTCTTAGAATAACCTAGAATGTTAATGTAASTTTTCTCGCACTTCATCGGGGCATCTGGAAAGCTGCTGTGGAMAATCTGCAAAAAGACACTGCAAGACCTTCAATATCCATCACTGGTTTTGAGAAGGGATTATCAACTTTAGTACATACAACAAAACRTCCACCCAGGAGGTGGAAGTGATGCTGCAGACATTCCTATATGATCATGTCCATAAAGCTAGCACAGCAACCACAGAGTCATATGTTACTTACTGAAGGATAATAGCCAAAATTAATGAAATGCATACTTACCCTGATACTGTGCCATGTCCTTCGACCAGAGAGTTTCTGTTCCATACTGAGTTTCATCATATAAAAACCTAACCTCTGTGGCACCAGCATCTTCTGCATTCTGGATCAGTTCCTAACAGGGGGAGGAGGAGAGGGGAGAGGTAATGTGGTAATGCTGTAGGTACTGGAGTTGTGGCTTCCCAGCTTCAGCAATTTTAAGCAATCGCAAAAAATAAAATAAAATAAAAAAGAAATACAGAAAAAGTGATTGCTTTCATACCTTTTCAATCAAACTCACTTTACCCAAAAGAAAGTAAGCATCATTACAAAAGAACATTCAGGCAAATATTGTAAGATTGTAAGACAGTGGTGTGGCAGAAAGTCATGAAGGGAAAATATACTGCACATTTTTTGACATCAGCGGAATTCAGTTTAAGCTAATGTTTTTAGAGTAAAAAGTATGAGCTTGAAAGCCAGTGTGCTCTCTCCTAMCACCTCTTTGGCAAAAGACTGCAGAGCAGCACGGAAAGCAGCTTTACAAACGGCAAATCACTACAGCTCAACTGTTAAAGCAGTTAGAGCAGAACAAGACTCATACTAAACATATGTAATATACCATTACAAAYATGAAAGAAACATTTGTGAATAGTATCAATAACGGTGACGGTCATTGAAATTTCTGATAGTTGGAATGCCAGTAAGCCAATTACATAAACAATACCATCAATAAAGTATGTCTACCCAGTCCCATTTATTTTAGTGAACTGAAAACCTACGTAGGGACACCACATGATATCCAAACTGTTCATATAGAATACATTTCATACCATTATATATAGAAATAAAAAGATTTGCTACAGACAGGAATCTCTCCCTATGAAAACATGCACCTAGCACCGGACATTTCAGTGCACACTAATATACTGCTGATAGTAAATTAAGTTCACTGTTTTCAAATATCCAGTTTAGAAACTATATTGTCCCATTTTCTCACTTTATGACAATATGTGCATTCTCTAAGACGTAAGAATGTGCATTCTCTAAGACGTATCATGTAAATAACCAAAACAAATTGTGTATATTGACAGATCTGCATCATTGCATTCCAGAGCAAAATGGAATAGTATGAAAGATACCCACAGTTCAGCATAAATAATAAATACCATAGAGAGATTCGATAAATGCTTAGCTTGAAAAAAATGCAATTCTTCTAAAAGAATAATTACCACAATCATGCAGGAAATATCAAGAAATAACCAAAGCTTCTAGAAATGTTAAATATTAAGTATGGAGACCACCTACATATTCAGAGACTTGCATTCATTCCATGGCATATCCAGCATCCACACTTTTTGGCTATCACCTTTAAAGAATTCTCAACAGTGAAGTTTAATTTTACATATTAGCAAGATATTCACTCCTTATATATATTTGCTCCTTAACAGTCCACAAACTCTAAATTGCAAAACAGAAAAAGAGGAACACATACTGTGTGAATCCTTTAGGATTCACATACATCTYACAGAGTGGTAAACACACAGTCAACTGTAAGTATCCTTCACAACCATCCTGTGAAGAGACAATTCTAGACACATAACCAGGATGCAGCCTGCTGAAACAATTGAAGACACATCTGAGCATTTACAAACCGTTTGGAGTGCCAAAGCTGCAAGGAGGACCTTCAAAAGGTTCAGGCAGTAACATCATCTGTCAGGATTTAAATAGCACCCTAGTGAGCAGAGTGCCTAYCTGGCAAAATTGAGAAAACTACACAAAACCCTGTACCAAACCTTGTTACTTTAAACCTACGACAAAATGAATCCTCCTCAATACCTCACTCCTACAAAGCATTCAGGGCAAGAAGAGTTCAACAAGTTCAACATCCAAATATGAAACAATCACTCCAGATGCTCATAAATTAATATACTAGGGAGAAAACAGCACTTCCAAATTGCAGTCGATCACATTTTGACACACAAAAAAAAAATGCAAGAAGGGAAACAAATCATCTTATATGGATGCCATTGTTTTTGCTATGGAACTTTGAGTGAACCTTCAGACATCTGAAAAAAGTTACAGACTACAAAACTCTAAAGCAAGGCGAGGTGAATCCCATTCTAACAGTTTCCCGGTTTATTTACTGTGAGTTTGTTTTGATGGTTATTTGGGTCAGCCCTGATTTTCATCAGTGGCTTGTCCATGTAACATCCAGTGTTCTAATGCTGATCATCACAGCATGACACACTGCTGCACACTCCTGGGCTGGTGATAGAACACTTCAAAGGACACTAATCTTACTTTACAAAGTCCTATGACATTTACTTTGTTATCAGAACCATGTTTCCACCTTTGTTATCAGAATGACGTTCCAGATCAGAAACATGTTTCCAATATGTTTATATTTCTTTGCCCATACAAAACAGATGGGTTCCTTATCCATGTCACTCCAAGAACAGCCTCTCCATCTCCCCAAAAGCCACTCAAAGCTTCCTGTATTGAGGTGCTCCTAACCCAGTGGTGAAACTTTGTGAAATCATCAGAGTTCACYGAAAACTGTGTGTTTAGCTACCAAGAAATTAGCAAACTCTTATATAAGAGTTTTCAGTTTTTCCTTAGTCTGATATGAATATGAGCCGCTCCCCATCACACTGAAAAGCATAGAGCTTAAAATTATTTAAAAATAAAATAAAAAGAAGACTTAATTGCATACACTAATTTTTGGTTTTGTCAAAGTTTACAACAGAAATTAACACTACGATAGGAAGTAACGTAAGTATTTTGGATGGTCTGCTCACAAACTACATCATGAAATCTCTGGTTTAATTATAATATAAAATAATTGTAAGCTACTATAGCTAATTAAAAGCCCAAAGTAGAGAAGATTGTTTTTATCCCTATTTTCTAATAAACTAAAAGAGTGATAAGCAAACTCAGAGATCATAAAATAAAGAACTGACAAGTCACTTTACCTTATACACGGGAATGCTAATATCTACTGTATTCCAAAGAATATTTGATGAAATACAACTGCTAGATTTTCTAGAAACCRTTTTATAACAGTAGTGCCATGTATGTCAAATTATTTCTGAAAATACTATTTACTGCATACCTTAAGGATCTGCCCTCCTTCTGGGTATCTTCTTAAAATATCCTTAAGAAAGTCAACAAGTGGTGGAGTTGTTTGTCCAAAGCGGCCTAAAAACAGATAGAAAAGAAAATAATGTACATGCCTAATTTTAAATTAAAAATACACTCACTAAATCATTACTGGAAAACCAGATTTTTTTTAATGCTCGATACTATAAAAATCACTTCTAAAATAAGCTGCAGAAGCACTACATTATAAATCTTTCCATGGGGRGRAAAAAAAAAAAGTAAAAGCAAATATCATTCTTAAAAGTCAAACTCTATTTCATAAGTAGATGAAAAATTTTGGAGCTAAGGCTTTACATGAAGTATACCCTAACTCCTACTAGCTATTCAACTATAGGAACTATTTACAAGAAGATTACTTTTTAAGTAGARTAGCAGAACATAATCAGACAGCACAGATGGCAACAGAGGTCCTGAAGTTCTTATAATCCACTGGTTATAATGATCCCTACTAACAGCTCCTCGGGGACAGATATGCTTTCAGCAACGATCTTGTTTACCAGTATTTGGCTTATTTCATATAAGACAAGGCAATCAACTCCACTGTAGTTTTTTTTATCCATCCCAAAGAATGGCAACATTATATTTTCTATATAATAAATTACAAACTGAAAATGGAACAACAAAAGCACTTAAAAAAATAAATTAATTAATTAATCCCTGGAGCAGAACAATTAGAAAAAAAAACAAGTGAAGGGATATATAATGACATAAGAAAAAAAATCTTTCTTTAAGTAAGGTACAATTATTTTTATTTACTCCAGATTGCGTTAAAGATGTTTTGAACTTTCAGTTGATAAATAGAGACAAGTATTTTTCATACCTCCTCCTTTCAAACCTTCTGACTGAAGCTTTAGAAAAATTTGATTTTGAGACTTTTGCAGATCCTGAATCTTGGTATCATCAGGCAACTGAAAATAAATAAATAAATAAACTAGTACGATGAAACATGCAGGGACAAAAGTAAGTTTAGCAAGACTCCTGAAAAACTGTGACTGTCTCAGCTACCTGCTATCTCTAAAGCAGACCTTGGGACTCACAGGGAAAACAATGGGGAAACAGACCCAAACTAATCAGAAAWTTCCTGTAATGGTGAAAAAAGGGGAAAAAAAGACTTAAACAAACTGCTAATCAAATCTAACAAATTCAAATTAGTCTCAGTTTATAATGAAGTTCAGGGCCACTTTCTCATTTCCTTGGCTCAGAACTTAACCAACAGCTAGAACTAAGAGGGTGCTTAGAGAGACACAGATGCTCATGCATCTACATGATCTTAASTTAATGAGCTGAAGGCAGCCCCAAAATACCATGAAATCATAACGCTGATATCTTAACATGAAATAGATGATATTTTTCATATTACTTTAAAATAATACATACAATAGCATTTTTAATATAAGTTCCAACAGAGATATTAGAAATATTAGAAAAATTAGTCACTCTATTGTAAGAGTGACTTAAGTGGATCATGTCTCAAAATGTAAAATAGCTTAAATAGGGTACACAAACTCACCCAGGGGTCACTAAAATAAGAACTCATATAGAGTGTTGTAACCCATCACCAAGTACTAGAGAGACAGAATTACAGAAGTCTCCCAGATGGTATTTTTGTACGCAAAACACCAGCACAGATAAGGAACAATGAACAAATCTGTATTATCACTATAAGGAAATAATCTGGAGTYTACTCCAGAACATTGCAGGTAGCGGCTTTAAAAAGGAAAAAGGATTTACCATTGAATGCTCTACTAGCTAAGTAAAATAATCATAAAAGATTTTGATACTAGGAAACAGCACTTTAAAAGATTATAAAGGATTTTCAAAACTACTGCAGCAGAGAAGAAATATCCCCACAGATCTTATTAATTTAAAACATATTTAAAAAAGAAATCAGAATATGTATTCCAGTCTGCTTATTGACTGTTTCCTGCCAAAAACACAGTCTTTGGTGCCAGMGTGCTGCTTGGATCTCAGCTTCCAGATGAATTTTAGAGTGATAAATAGTCCTCCTTCCTCCCCAAACAGGAAGGCCTGGAAAGAACAAAACCAAGGACACGCAAAAAAAARGGGATGGCCTAAATGGGTAATTTGCAAAAACCAAGAGATGGCCTAAACGGGTAATTCTCTGGGAATGGGAGCGCTCCAAGGCTGTGCTCCTAGGGCAGGCTCCTAGCAGCTCTGCRAGCCATCAGGTGCTCGCACCCGGATCCCCATGGACATGAACGTCTCCCTGTCCCACTCTCACCTCCCTTCCAGCCTTCCCAGACCAGCTTCCCTCGGATTCACCCCCACCTGCACCTCGGGCTCCCAGCATGGACCAGCAGGGAACCCAACAGCTCCCGACAGGCCCCTGAGCTGATGGTTTCAGCAGGACAAGGATAACCGTGYGGGTCCGCAACGCCCGCCAGAGCTGGGTTTGCAGCCCGCAGGAGCCTTCTGACCACCAACTGCCACCGCAATCCCACCAAGAAATAGAGGAAAAAATAAATAAATAAAGGCAAGCGGTTTTCTAGCTTCCCGTGAAGGAAGCGCTGGAGACCTGACAGCGGGCATGGGGACCCTGCAGGGTGGTCCCCCCGACCCCCGGGGTCCCTTCCCCTCGGCCGCTCACCTCTCTGCCGCGGTGCCAGAGGCGCTGGCGGGCGGCGGGGAAGGCGGCGTCCGCCTCGATCCGCGCCTTCACGTGGCGCACGGCGGCGGCGGGCGGCAGCTCGAAGGTCCTGCAGCCCAGGCGCTCATGCTGCACGGTGACGCGGGGCAGCCTGCGCGCACACACGGCACGAGACGGCGCTCAGCGGGGCCGCGGCGGGAGCCGGGGGCGGCTGCGCCCTCCCGGCGCCGGGAAGGAGCCGCCCGGCCCCGCCGGGCCCCTCAGGGAGCCGCGCTCGCCCATCCCATCCCGTCCCGTCCCGTCCCGTCCCGTCCCGCCACTCACATGCCCGCCGCGGCGCACAAAGCCCCGTTAGCTCCGCGGCCGCCGCCGCTCCCCGCCGGGGGAAGGGAAGGGAAGGGAAGGGGAGGGACGGGCGGCGCTGCGGCGCGGAGCGGAGCGGGGAGGAGCCGCCCTGCCGCCCGCAGGAGGAAGAGGAAGGAGGCGGCGGCAGCCGAGCCGAGCGCGGGAGGTGCCCGCGGCCCCGCCGCCCGGCCCCGGCCCGCAGCCGCGGAGAGGGGCCCGGCGCTGCCCCCGCACCGGGCGGCGCGTCCGCAAACGCGGCCGTGGGCAGGGGCCGCTCTTACGGCACCCCCCACCAGTACCTGATGAAGGCAAAGCACCAGTTATACACATATACACACAGACATACATGCAGACACGATAATATACATGTTAACGGTTCAGTCTCAGCAGCAAAGCAGATTTGTGCTTCATTCTCCTACTACTTGCATCCCTAAGCTTCTGTATCTCCCTGCCCTCTGTTTTTTCATCCCATTTCACATGGCTGTTAACCTGGGGGTGCTCTGAGGCCACCCGCACAACCTGTCCTTGTGGAGAAGCACAAGAGCTCCCTGGTGCGCTGCAGATGGTCCATCTTCGTGAAGGGCTAAAAATGGGGGCGGCGGGGGACCATACGCCCAGTAGGTCTCACCTCAGTCATGAGGCAGATCATGGAGAACATCCAGTTGGAATCCACCTCCTCCACTTGAAGGACAAAAGGTACATCAGGAAAAGTACACCCAGTTTCACACTGGCCTAATCAACTTAGAAGAATCCTGTGACAAGATGGCTGACTGTGCAGATGGGAGGAAAGCAATGGATTAAATACACCGTAGTATGGGTTTTGACACTGCCTCCTACAGGATTCATGTTTGGGAAGTGAGGAAGAATAGTCAGGGAGTTAGATGGATCGAAAAATTGTTGAATTGCTGAGATCAAGGGGTTGCAATGAGGAGTTCAGCTTTGGGCAAGAAAGAGTGCCCCTGGCACATATTTTCTGTGGGGCTAACTCTGTTCAGCATTTTCATCAGTGACCTAGATGATGACAAAATGGTACCCCATGCAGATTTGCAGATGACCGTCATGTAGGAGCACTCACAGCCTTCCCTGGGTACCCGAGATCTGCCAGAGACAAGTGTGCAAACTGTAGGGTTGAGATGACTGGTGCAGAGGTGAAGTTGAGCTGTGAGGTGATCGGGATAATGAAGGAGGAAATTCAGAGGTGACCTTAAAGTGACTGGGCAAAACAGTAGAAGGGCATGGTCTGCTAAGGGTCTTATCTGCTCAGTGGCTGAGGCAGAAAAACCTAATGCGTGAACCCTGATCCAGACTGGTAAAAGCACCTCTAGGTCAGTGGCAGCTGATCATGGCAGCTGTCCACCATCATCATGGGTGCCATCCCAGTGCCATCCTCAGTCTCCAGCAGGACAGATCCCCGAAGCCTGACCTCCTTGGCACTGCCTCACTGCATCACTGGTGGCTAGTGGTGGTGGTTCCACTGTAATGGATCATCTAGTGCATTAATGAGTCAGCTAGGTTGGTGCTTGTATGACTGTATATTGTTGTGATCAGTTTGTTATTGTTTGCATATGACATTAGCAATCAGCTTACCAATAGCAGTTGGAATATGCAGTAAAGCACAGTACAGCTCAAGGCTCCCTCTGCTGCTCATCATTCGACTGAACTGGCAGTCTGCAAAAATCCTTCTTCAAGTTCCAGAGTTGCTGCAATATGAAGGAGCTAAGGGCACCTGAGATACTTGAGAAGGGAGCCGAGAGGGATCTTTAAAGTTCRTTAAACACAAAGTTCTGCAGCTGGGACTCCATGCATGGCAGAGCCTGGGGGACTAGCTGAATGGCCCTGACAGGCCCTATATAAAATGACTTGGGGGTTACAGTGGATGCCAGGAYGAATGTGGGGCAATGGAAAGAAGATGGCCAGCAGATCAAGGGAAGGGATGAGCTTTCTCTGCATAGGTACTGATGATGCTGGATTTGGGATATTGTGACCAGACTAGGTCACAATAATTGTTTTATGGCCTTCTCAGTTCAAGATTGACTGCCRCAATGGTCTGCAGCCTCAGTACATGATCTCTGAGGAGAGACTGAGGGATATAGGCATTTTTAGCCTGATGAAGAAGACACTAAGGGCAATCTAATATCATCCTGCAGCTACTTGAAAGTAAATTACAGAGGTGATGGAATCAGCCTTCTTAGTAGTCCATTATAATAGGAGCAATGGCAACTGCTCTAAACTCTCAGCAACATCCTGGTCATTCTGGCTAGGAATGTAGTATGCGAATTCCCTTTTTATTGCAAAGTGATTTATATATATCCTGTTTTCCGTTATTAAACTCTTTGCCTTTTTACACCTTAGAATAGTGAGGTTTATCAACCTTGAGGTTTTTTTTTTTTTTTTTTTTTTTTTTTTTTTTTTTTTTTTTTTTTTTTTGCTTGGTATCTAAATAGAAATCTTCCGTAGAAAAATAACTGTATAGAAATTACACTGCTTGAATGAACAGCATTGCTGTAGCAATGCTGCAGCACTAAAGTTTTTTTATTAAATGAAATGAAAGCCATATGCCTAATGACATATCCTTGAAAACAGAAAATTCTGCATATTGCAGAACAATCCCATATTTTCAGTAATTTGGAATAACACTGTGCAGGAGCAGAAAGAGATGGGTGCAAGCCCCTTCCTTCCCTACCACCATGTGCAAGAAGGARTCTGCAGAAGGAAGAGTGAATGGTTCAATAAGCAGCAAACGTTATCTAAATGTTACTAAAGCAAGAGGAGGCCTCCTGCAGTACAGTATCTTGCAGAGCAACGACTAACAGTCCTGCAGTACTGGCAAGCAACTAGCAGTGACTCAACAGCCACATTTAGATTCAAGACAGTACCCACTGAACATAAAAATCAAACTTTCTATGACATTGTAAGCACTTTTGATTTTTTAGATCAATTCCTTGCACATTTCTGACAGATGTTTTAAACTGTGTGCTGTAAATATTTCATATCAGCGAGAGATTATAGATTGCACTGGTCAGCAGTCRCTGTCAGAAGCTTGCTTTGTCCTTGCTTACTAATCTCTTTTCAAGAAGTTTGAAAATAAACTTAGTATTCTCTGATGACACATATGTTACTCACTGGAAAACCACCCCTTAGGGAAAAGTGGAAAGTTTCTACTTTCTTTGAACATCATCAGTAACAGAAAACAAGACTGTCTTTCTTAAAAGAGGGCACTGAAAGAACTATAGTCATATTTAGTACCAGTGACAAGAAAAACTCTGATTCTGGCCTGTGAAGCACTTGAGTCAAACAAAATATCTGCATTTGCTGTAAAATRTGCTACACAATTTAATCATCTGGCTGCAACTATTTATTACAGGTTGATACAGTGTATTTAAATCAGTTTTCCTTCTCTGTGCTCATCATACTGAACTATTACAGGCAGCTTCAAGYCAAATATTTGTGTGATTATTGCTTAGTAAAATATTCAAGAACTAGAGGAAAGGCTTATTCTTATGCCTTTTGCAAGCTGATGTATTTCTAAATGTGCATACCAGTGCCCAAATATCAAAAGAACAGCATACTTTAAAATACTAGTAATAAACATGAGATTTAAAGGCACAGAAGSCAGTAATAGCCTTTTACTCATTAAATTTCCATTTAATGATTTATGTCTCAGTTATTTAGTTTAATGCTCAGGACAGTTTCTTGAYAGCACTACACAAATGCCAGTGGAAGAATGTTTTAAAGACCATAAATCTTCCTTCAGTTTACTCCTTGCTAATAGAAAGAACAGAGCAAGAAGGCACAAATAAATGAATACATTTCAAAATCTTCTCAAATACTGAGACAGACAAACTTCCTTTTAGCTCTACCTCTGGAAAAAGACCTGAAGTCCTTCAAGWGAGGAGCTAAACTTAGTCTTAACTAAAGAAGAGCAACCATTCCTCTACAAATGTGGCTTGCTACAATTCATGAACTTTTCTATTCTAGTCAGCACAAATAACAAAACACTAGAAAAATACCTGATGTTTCCAATTAAGTAAAAGATTAACCCAAGATGACGATAAAAATAAACTCCTCAGTTATTCTTTAGAGAATTGCATTAGGAGAAGTAGCTATAGTGTGGCACGAACTGCTGTGGACACATATTTTTGAATAAGCAATATGTACAATTGCGGCTATTGGTTTCTTACGCCTTTTACCCCTTGGTAAAATGGTAAAAAGGACGAAATTTAGGATAGTCACTTTAGACCTTGCAGACCTCCAAAGGAGGCTAAATTTGCAGGTTTATTTCAGTGCTTGATGTAGGTTCCCAAGTAGCACAACAAATCTGGGTCTCCATTTAGGATGCCCAGGATGCTCCCTGCACAATCAACATGCCAGGCACTTCTGAGCTGCAGTGCAGAAAGTCACACCCAGAAAATAAGTGCAAAGAATTAGGAGCAACAAGGATGCATGTGAACTACTCCCATCCTTCAGAGACCCCGTGTACTTTATATTGGAAGGATTTCTGAATGAAGAGCTCGAACTAAACTCACTTTTTCAAAATAACAACTTCAGCTAGCACATTATCCATCCTCTTGTGTAACAATGACCTAGTAGTTTTTACCCTGGAAGTGGGAGAGCTGGACTTTCTTATCTCTGAAATATTTTTTACTGGTCTGCCATGTAGTTTGTATCTTGAGTCGAGGTCTGAGTAGCAAAATACAGTTCTATGCTGGAAGCAAAACAGCCTTTTGAACTTTTAATCAACACAGTGAAAACACACTCTGTAATCAGCTTATCAAGGTTATATTTTTCCATAGTATCTTAAGACATTTTTCTTATTTTCCCTCCAGAATGCTTAATAAATTTGTTTTATTTTCTATATAAGTGAGGGCAATCCACTCAATAACTGAGATTACACTTATTAAATATTTTAAGAAGTATTTTTCCATCCTTGTGCAAGATGAGTGCTTCTGAATGCTGCGTGTAATCATGCACTCAAGATTCAGAACTTTTTCTAGGCATCAGTGAACAGAAACCTATGTATTTGGAGAAAATATTAAAATAGCTGACAGAAGGAAACAGAAGACAGGCATTTTTTGTAGTTTATGGAAATCTACAAGTGCCCCTTTAAGTATCTATATCTTCAATAGATAGTGGAGGACATCTATTAATAAGCTTCAGGATAATGCTAGCTCCATACCAGCTCCATAGCAGTTCYCTCTCCCTCCCAGCAGATGTTAAAACAGTAACACAAGTAACAATTAATCCTTCAGACAAAGAGAGAATGAGGGGACCCGGAGGAAGACATGAGACACACATAGGTCCTAATGCAGAGAAGAGAGGCAAGAGGGAAGGAATGACACAGGACAYCTGCTTTTGGAAAACCAGAGCAAAAGAAAGGTGAAGGCTTCCTGGGTTACATGACAAATCCTCTCACAGAAGTGTCAGATCTTCAAGTAAATTGTGTTTCACACACGAGAGTTGCAGAAGTGTTTGTCAGGAACTGGATGTTGTGCTTTGGTGTCCTATCTACATGAAACAGCAAAGCAGAAAAGAGACTATTTCCAGCCACCTACCCCAAAACTGCTTTTCAGACTTCTTTTTATGATTTACTGGTGGAACATCTTATATAATTATCCTCTACGCTAGTTCAGTTATTATGATTCAAATTAACCACTTATTATTTAATTTGTTTTAGCTAATTTGGCTCATTTTGATGGAGCTGAGAGAAAGCAAAGCACCTACAGGAACTATGATATCTGCAGACCAGAGGGTGCACTAACCTGCAGCTTCCCCAAGAGTAAGTCAGAAAAACAACCTAACTGCTTCCTCCAAAGTGAATGATAAAACTTGCACTACCTTGGGGCAGGGCATTTTCAAAATAGCATCCCTGTTGTTTACACATTTGCCAGGGTGATAGCACAGGTATGAAACAACCCTTGGCATATTCCTGTATATTTGGACCCAAATATAGCACGAAATGTAGGAATCAAAGAGATCTTCCACAAAGACTAAGGAAAGGGAGAAGGGCAATAGGGAGGCTTCCTAYGCAGGCTGCTGAGCAGATTTCAAAATGTATAACAAATTGTATGCTTGTTTATTGTTCATATATAATCATGTTTATACATACAAGCTTATGGAAAGAGTTGATTAGATGCAATATATCTATAATTATAATTTATGCAAAATCTGAATTGAAATAGGGATATGACCTCAGTGCAAAGCTAACTAAGCCTGTGCTAACTTCCCTTGAATATACTACTCTTGCCTATAATTAAAACACTAGCATAATCAGTAAAGACTAGGTTGGTAACACATTTCTTCAGCCAAGGAAATTCCAGTGCTAGTCTCTCTAGGATCGGATGTAGAAACTTTGAAGTGTTTGGTTATTTTTTGTAACTATCTATGAATAGTCACATATTTTTTTCTCTCTTTCTCTCTGGGACATGTGTTAATAACCTCCTATTAGCAGGAGATGTTAATTGCCACCAAAGCTCTCTCTTGGTACAAGGCTTGCGCCTGCAGTATTCACTCCTGTCTCTGTCCAACTCAGTTTCCAGTTTGAAAATTGGCCCTGCAGCTCAATCTAGGACAATTCTTGCTTTCTAGTTCTCATCCCCGACAGTTCTGTTATTTCTCCTATATTATTTGTCCCATTTCAGTCCTTGGTGACAACCAAGTTGTTGTCCATCAGAATAGCTCTATATAGCAGATCTTCATGTCTTACTGGTCAGCAGAAGAGCTTGCTGCACCAATATTTTTTGCACTATGTACTCCTTAAGAGGGCCAAGAAAGGTTTCCAGATGTACCAAATTTGCACTAGGCCTTAGTTAATTGATGTAGAAGAAAAAAAGAGCTATTCAAACCTCAATATTTTTCTGTCCCTCAATCAGCTATCAGTAGAAGACATCTAATTTTTATGAATTTTCACAGAATTACACAGGAAGCCAACGGAATGGACCCTGAACTAACMGTTAGCTGTTATAAAAACAACTTTCTAACAGAAGCCAAAGCCCAGCTCCTGAGCAGACAGAAAATAGAAAGACTGGGTGTTACAGAACATTTCAGGTCAGTGGCAGTTCTGCACATGGGGATTGTTGGGGGTGAAGACTGTGTTGTTCATACAAAGTCCATGCTTTAACAGGGAATAAGMACATCTCTAATGTCAGTTTAACATCCAAACAAATATTTTTCTTATGAGCTTTGTTTAAGCACTGCCCATGCAAGGAAGTACTTTCTTTGTTTTTTGGCAGGTAGACAGGTTGTACATTATTTCCAGATGCTTTACGCATCCTTTACACAACCTGTTGCATTCAAGGATGTGCAAGTGCTGTAAGAAAAGTTTCCCTTTATCCGGTTTTGAAAAAAATTTTGCAGCAAATGTAGACAGTGCCTGTAACCGAAAGCTAGGCTTTGAATTCATCACTTTGTCRCTGAAGTGATGAATTTTTCCTATTAGTTTCTATTAATTTCAGAGACACAATTTACTAATCCAATAAATGCAACATCAGCAGGCACATATATATGATTTTGTATCTTTGTATCTTAAAAAATTAATTTCACTTCTAAAAGTAGCATTTTTTTATAAACACTAAATCATTTTCAGACCCAGTATTTCACTTACTGAAGATCACAGGTCACTGAGCGACAATGTCAGATACTCTGTTCTAACAAAAAAAAAAAAAAAACTTTCAGGAGTTATTTTCTTTACCTGATCTTATCCTTGATCTCCATTGATTCTTTTTCTATATCTTCCTGATAGAAACATGAAGCAGATTTTGGATTTATGAATTAGCACATTCTTCTTTAGATCTCCTTTGTTTGCTGACTCATCGTTTCCTTTTTGCTGGACATCGGAAAGCCCAAGCATGTGAAGCTCAGCTCAGTGTTCACTCCATCCTTGAACTCCAAAATGCAGCTGTGCTTCTCACCATCTGATGGGTTTTTTTTTTGATAAAGGCCCCGTTTAAATGTTCAGAGAACTTCTCTCTCTTAAAATCAGGCACAGGTCTCAGAAAGCAAGGAGGTGTTAGTTTCTTTAACCAAATTCAAGCAATGATCTTCTGCAATTGTTTTGTATGCATTTTCTGGAGGAGTGGAGTTGTGGAACCTCCTGTTTCTGCTTTCTCTTCTTTTCCCCTGGAAGTGGAGACAGTTGGAAGAGTAGGGCCAAAGTCTGAGCTTTCTTCTGCTTCAGATCTGCTAGAGGCCACTTCTTAACATGAGCTCAGGAGTTCTGGGAAAAGAAAAGAAACAAGAGAAACGGAGTGGGTCATTAATACAAAAAAGAACTTAACTGAAGGGGATGGAAAAGTCATTTCCTCGGAGGAGGTAGTTGCCATTACGAGTACTAAGTGAGTCATGATGCTAATTATAAACTGCCTTGTGTGTAGCAGTGCTTGTAAGCACATGGAGAACTGAAAGAGAGCAATGAGGTTTTCCTTTTCTCTTCCAGTACAGCAACTAATATATGTGGCATACTGAATAAATGGGCAAGTATTTTATTTTCTTCTTTTGCAACAGTATCTGCTAAAAGAGGCTTTATGGTACATATCACAGGCTTGCCATAAAACTAGGCTATCAAAGAAAGAATGAGCAGGGCAGAACACTTAGGGAGAGACAACTTGCCCTTCTACTCAAATGGTTTGCAGCCAGGGGAGGAGAATAGAGAGCTCACAATAAATTTCCATGAGGAGGATCCAAAATGCTCCCATCTAATCCCCATTCCTGGCTATACAGGTCAACCTCTACCCTGTGTTGTCCAYACCTTCAGGACCAAAGATCAAATATTTCCTTCAGGCCAACAGACAGATTTTACCTTCTGTTATACCTGAATAATGTATAAAGAAGGCAAAGCATGAGGTGTCCAGCAGCACAAGTCATTTTGTTCACTATACATGTTATATGTAAGTTATTTCCCAGGGGGAATATATTTGAGAGAGGTGGGAGGAAGACAGTAGCGTAACATTGCTGCTCTGCATCTGGGCAAATGCAAATCCTTCCCTGAGCCTCTGACAATGCGAGCAGGTCTTTTCATAATGTGCAGTTGTGCATGTCCCTCTTTAAACAGGAATGTAGAGAGCCAGTTTTTTCCTGACCCACAAAGGGAAACAGTTGTGGCTAAATTGCAAAATGTAAATTAGTTCACTGTGTAAGTATGAAATTGAAATATGAATGGTATGGAAGAAAGGGTGGAAGAATATGTGATTTGATTTGTTTTTCTTAATGTTTAGGAATTTACTTACTAGGTAAATGAAATATCAAAGGATATATACTGAAGATGAATTTTAAATGCATGTTTTTCATGAAAAGCATTGTGGTGAATATGACTTAGCATAATTTGCTGCTAAATGACTTCAATATAAATTTTTCTCTATATATAAATATAGAGAGAGAAATATAAATTATATAGATGCCTAGGAGTATATCTAGTATGCAATCCAAAGACAAATTTCATAGCTAAATYGTAATTAAATCATATGGAATTAAGCAAACAGCTTTGCAGATCAGAAAAAAAAAACCAGCCTCATCTGCACAGGTGTGAATGATTCTGCACAGAGTAAAACCACAGCAGCTCTGCTGCCTAATGAGTTGTAGTTGGGAGGGAGAACACCAGGGAAAAACATTTTGCYTGCAGGAGAAAGCCAAGCTTAAGGGTCTCCTGGCATTCAGTGCTGCAGCAGAAGTGGGAAGATCAGGTCAGATTACACTCTTTCCACTAAAGTAAAATTAGCAAAGTCACATATGAAAAATATTCAAAATTATTTGAGCAATTTAAATTATCTCAGGAAAGAGAAAAAAAAAAAAAGGTTTATAATAGAAAGCTAATTATGGCTCTGGGAGACAGTCTCTGCATAATTACTGAGTGACACACTTTCTCAGACTATACTGAGTTTTTATGCTTAGACTTTCAAAGACTGTCCTTTGTCATGTTGCTGTGGGGAAGCTTTCTTAACTCATTGCATTTCTGTGCATTATTTTGTACAAACCAATATATATAATTTACATGTTGACAAAAGGACTCCAGCTAAATCCATCCTTTTGATAAGTCAGTCAGTGCTGTGAGTATTTCCCCTGGGACAGTGAAAATACACTCGCTTCAAAAGAATTGGTATGTTATTTGCTGTTGGTCATAACAGATCCTTAGAAAATAAAATTGCGTTCTAGGGTTTTTGACAGTGATACCTTGTCCAGAAAATGGTTAAGTCTGAAACCAGTCTGAAAGTTATTGATTCAGTAACTTCCTCCCTTAGCAGAATAGCAGGTTCTATCACAGCAGTGACACATCTACATTGGCAAATCATCCTGACAGTCCCCAAAGGCGCTTGGTCTTGCCCCCATGGACAGGACTGAACGGTGGTGTCAGTTTATTACCAGATCCCATTACAATCCTGGAAAGATTTTGACACAGACACTCCTAYGTTTTCTGCCATGGAAGGGAAGAGAGGCAGGACTTGGCTGTCAGCCACTAGAAGCAGCCAGAGCCCACTGCACTAACGTCCTGATTTATGTTTCTTGCTGGCCTAAAGTGGTCATACGGGTTACCTTATAACTTTATACATTACAGAGCTCCAGTATCTGAGAACATTCTGGCATTTAATTCATTAGCATAGATATAATCTCTCCTGGAAAAAAAAATCTCTTATGGCCACAACCTACACCAGTTTTCTACTCTAAGATTTATTTGCTTTTAAAAGAGAACATATCTCACTGGAAGATGTTCTGTCTGCCTTTAATTGAATTTCAGTGGAGGAGGTATAGTAATCAGCCTGTAAAAACTCCCTTCAGTTTTAGGGATGCCTGCAATTAGTTGTAAATATGAAGCCAAAGGCATGGGTGCTAATGCATAACTATGCAAATATTTAATTTCACCTGCAAATCAGGTAGATATATAAATATYAATACCATTCCAGGAATTTATTGTGTGAAAACCCTGCATGGYTAGCTGGCTATCTCTTTGCTTCTCAACCATCTCTTTAACGTTGGGATCAGGCTAAACTAAACATACATGAGTTTATTTCCTCAAGAGTAACAACTAAATCAGAAACCTAAGAACTCCACGCTGCAGCATTGGAAGCATGCAGGAACCAGCACAATTACACAACTGAAGACTAGAGGAGGAGAAAATTGTGAACGGAGCGTGGCAGTAGCAAGTTCTTGACTTATGCTTTACRTAGTTGAAAAGTACAATAAAACCTGTATTGCATATGGTGACTTCTGTTGGCACAAAGACCACAACAAGAGGTCTGTATCCTCAGAAGGAAGGGCTATAGTGAGCAGCACACAAGAGAGGCGGTTGAATTGAGCAGAGCTTGTTTGGATGAGCCGTGAGATGCTCACAGCCCACGGGCATTYCCTCTCTGCCACAGTCATGTGTAACCTTGCCTGCACCTAGCTTTTATTTTCAAGGTTCAAAGATATGTCAAACACAATCATCTCATGCTAATCACAGCTCCTTGCAGTGTCACTGTTGGGGCTAATCCCTGTGTAAATGGGATCACAGAATCACAGAATGGTTGAGGTTGAAGGGACCTSTAGGGAGATCAAGGCCACTACCTCTGCTCAAAGCAAGGTCACATAGAGCACATCGCCCAGGACCATGTCCAAGTGGCTTTTGAATTTGCCTAAGGATGGAGACTCTACAACCTGATCCTCCCTCAACCTGCTGGGAATGTTCTGCCTAATGCACCCCAGGATTCCATTGGTTTCCTTGGCCACARGGGCACATTGCTGGCTCATGGTCACTTTGTTGTCCACCAGAACTCCCAGGTCCTTCTCCACAGAGCTGCTTTCCAGCAGGTCAACTAGAATGGAAAGGTCAGGAATGAGAAGGGAAAAAAACAATACTTTTTTTTTGTTTGTTTTTCATCTATATTGAACTGTAAGAGAAACATCCCTTTAAAAAAGGAAAACTAGAATACCTGGCAAAACTGAAGACTGATAATAAATGTAGTAAATTTACATTCTGTTGTCACAATCCCATCGGGTTTAGGACAACCTGAAACAAGTCTGTCTACATTTGTTTTGCATTTCAGAGGAAGCAGCTAAATCTTGATAAAAACTTGATCTAGGAATCAAAAATCTGATCACACACATACATCTTAAATATGAAATCTTCCTGTCAATGCACAAGTAGCCACATTCAAGGCTACTGCACAACTGCAGGTAGCACAACAATGCACAGAATTTCTTCCTAGAAATAACTGTTCTGCAGAAATTTGAGACAGACCTGATACAGCATAATATAATGTGCCAGCAAACTGGAAATGCTGGAAACAGAGTTGATAGGTTCATAATATGTTTATTCTCTAGGAATTTGTGGGGTAGCAAACTCTACAGAAATAAGTAGTCCAAACTACTGGTACATACAAGTCAGTGCCATTGGCCAAGAACACAGTTCTGTGCTTGTAAGGAAAACATCATCTTTCATACTTTACCTTACATAAATTTTAAATGAAAAGTATTCAAACTAGGTGTGTTTTTAAAATTCCAGCACTCAATTATATAATACTATTGAGAAGAAAAAATTTAATTGATTTTTATATGGAAGACAAATTCCTAGTAGACGTAAAAAGTGATTCTTTTCTTAGAATGTAGCAATTTGATGCATTTAGCATAGCAGGATTATTTTCTTTTGGTGAAACATGGGAAATATATGCAAAATGATAAAAATTTAACAGTTAATTCGGGCAAATCTTGTAGCAATTTCTTTTTCTGGCCCAAATACAATAAAATCCAAAATCTCAGGACAGCATGTCAAACTGAGCACAAACCTGACCAGCAATTTATCCCTGACTGCACGAACCAGATACCCAAACAAGGTATCTGAGACACACTAAGGACTTAATAMGTGCCAGAGTATCTCCAGAGTATCTCCACTTCCAGCCTATCTGTTGTGATTTATCTTCAGAGCCTCATATTAAAGCTAAAAAAAAAAAAGATACAGAGTTAGAAACTCAATTGTACGTCCCAAGTATGAAGTGGAAAGYGTGCAGTTTAAACAGCATCCTGGCAATAAAGCCTAT